TTCTCATCTCATGTGTTGAGTCCCTCACATCCAGAATTTCTTTGGTTCCTTTTTATAATTTCAATCTCTTTGGTAACACACTCCTTCTGTTCATTAATTTTATGCCCAGATTCTCTGAGATGCCTCCTAAATTTTCTCTGGCTCATTGAAATATTTCACAGAAGCTTCATAAAAGCAATTATATAAGAATAAGATCACAATATTCTTTGCCTCTTAATTTAGTCCCTGGACTATTGTCATTTTCTCTTTGTGATACCATCATACTATGATTTTGGATGAAATGTGCCTTTGTCATCTCACTTGAAGGTTCAAGCATCTTTCTTATTTAGGAAAGGTTTTGTTGACTTTGATTCTAACAGTTAAGCAAATTGGCAATCAGAAACCTTACTTTTGTTTCCCAGAAGGTCATGATCTAGCACAATATTTTATTTTCTTATTGGAGCTGACTCACCGCTAATTAGGAGCACACCTAAGAGATCTGACACTTAGGGAGTTAAAAAAAAAAAAAAAACCTGGTGGCAGAGTGGCAGGGCAGTTGTGGGCTTTAGCACTTGGGTCATGGGTGTACCCAAGGCCAGTGGGATGGGTGGGTAGGGTCTCAGAGGTCCCAGACTTCTTGAAACCCCAAGGCAGACAGCAGGAAACACCTTCCTCCAAATCATTTCCTCCCCTTCCTTCCCTTGTGTCAGTCACAGAGTTCCTCAGAAATCCAGGTGCTGAACAGCAACAGGTTCCTCCATGTACCTGAGCAGCCAGGGAGACTTTGACTTATCACTCTGCTTTCTACCTCCTCTGCCTCCAATGCCAGGATCAGCACTGCCACTGATGCTGCTGCACTTCCCTTGGCCCCATAATCTCTATGATTCCTAATCCACCCTCTTTGGAATGCAGATGGATGGATCTCTCAGTATGCTCTCTGGAGGCACTTTTATTCAGCCATGGATGTTTAATTAGACACAAATGGAAAGAAAGAGAAAAAATGAAGAACTTACCCAGCTACGATGCTGATGACACCCCTATTACTCTTTAATAGGGTTGAATAAGAAATGTTAAATGAATTTCTTCTGTCTGGTGTTTACCTAATGAGGACTGAGATGAGTATGAAATGCAGTACACTTGTTATTTGGAAAAACCAGGCATACATGAAGGGTAGGAGAGAACCTAACAAAGACCAGGTTCCAAGGACAAACACAGGTACTTGTTTTCTACATATATATATACTACTCATACTGGAACAGTGCAAATCCTTCTAGGGAGGCCATGACTTTATCTGAGATCAGTCTATTCTAGAGCAACTTAAAAAACACCATAGTTGCCCAAACTCCATTTAATATCCTAGAGTCATAATTCTATCACTCTAGTTCTGGCTCCAGGATGGCATGAACCCCTTTCAGTGCATCTTTCATAATTCTATAAATTCTGGACAAATACAGAAAGACCCACAATTAGCCACAGATACCAAGAGTGCATGGGAGACAAAACTTGAACAAGTGCCCAGTATAGGGAATAAGGTCTCCAGGTCTCTGTTACTTTATTTCTGTGCCTTTGTCTACAAAAATTTCTCCAGCTGTAGGGAGAAAGAATCCAGATTCCTGGCTTCTTCCCACCCTGATATGTTGTGAGAAACAAAAATGCTCCCACATTTTTCCAGGCCCCATCCAGAACCAGTTTCCTAGCACCACCAAGGGCCCCAGCTCAACACCCACCCCATCAAACTCTGCCCTCAGTTGGTTCTGCTCCAAGGCTGTTCTGCCATTAGGTCACCAAGCTGCTTTAATTGAAATCATTTCATAGGATGTTTTCCTTTGGCTGCTTCTGAGGACACAGACTGAGATATGCCTGCAGACTAGGAAGTGCCCTCAGGAACACCACCTGTGAGGGAGTGAGAGCAGAGGAGGGCAGAGGAGGAAGTTGAACTGCAATTAAACAGCAACAAAACCCACAAATGATCAAACAGGGAGCTAAGGACCTGGGATGCCTTTCAAATTCTTTTAACTTGAGGCAGTTTTGCTGCTACAATTGGAATGCAGGGCAACATTTGTGCAACCATCACTCAAGGACATGCCACCTGCACTGCTACATGTTTTGTTTCTGGATTTGCTTTTTTGATGAAATAATGGCAAAAGGAAGACAGAAGGGTACCTGTCTTACTCCAATCAGGCTGCTATCACAAGACAGCACAGACTGGTGGCTTACAAACAATGGATACTTATTTCTCACAGTTCGGAGGCTGGGAAGTCCAAGATAGTGACACCAGCAAATTTGTGTCTGGAGAGAATACCCTTCTGTGGTGGTCTTTTCACTGTGACCTCACGTAGCTGAAGTGCCAAGGGAGCTCAAGGCAGCTTTGGTAAGAGTGCCAATCCCAATCATCCCCTCCCCAAAGCTCATCTTGGGGCTTAGGATCTCAACATAAGAACTTCTGGGGGACACATGCATTCGGCCAATGGCAGTACACTTCTTCCCTATAATTTCACTGTGTGAGGAGAGGACACTAGGCAGTGTGGGAAATGTAGGGAGATTTGTACACAAGGCCCCACAACAGCAGTGTTAAATCACTAAGCTGAACATGTGTATTAGTTGTCAATTTTAAGTAGATTTTCATATTCAGAAATTATTGTAATCCCTGCTTACAGATGAGGAAATTGAGGACCAGAAATTAAGTGGAATGATGTGCAAACTGTCAGTTATTAGAAGAGCCTATTACTCCAATTCTCACTCTTTCCACTAGTGCCATCTAAAAAATTTTCGTGCTACACATGCATTAACCTTTAGTGGTGAACTAAAATATTAAGTAGTAAACATTAAATCTTCACTTTTCCCCTTTGTGTTCAAGCTCTCTGGGGCTGGCTCAACATGTCCTATTTCATATCAATTGATCACCTATGTGAGGAAGAGAGACATTCCAAACTCTCTTCATAAAATATACAGACACAAAGATACTTCCTATCTCTGATAGAATCCAATAAAATTAGTTGATAATAGCAAAAAAAAAAAAAAAAAAAAAAAGAAAGAAAAAAAGAAAAAGGATATTAAATGCAAATCTTTGAGAATGTGCCTAAGACTTTAATGTCATTTCTAAGGGCCTTATAATCAATATTTACATTTTAAAACAAACACTCTTAAATCCTAATGGCTAAAGGCCTTTTCAAACAATAGAGACGAATCAATCTGACCTTTAAGAAAAAATTAGAAGATACATCCAAATTCATATCAAGAAGTTCTTTTAAAAACATTAGCCCAAAAGTAGAGGTTGAAATAACCTATTTTTTAAAATTTTTATTTATTTTATGATAGTCACACAGAGAGAGAGAGAAAGAGAGAGAGAAAGAGGCAGAGACATAGGCAGAGGGAGAAGCAGGCTCCATGCACTGGGAGCCCGACGTGGGATTCGATCCCGGGTCTCCAGAATCGCGCCCTGGGCCAAAGGCAGGCGCCAAACCGCTGCGCCACCCAGGGATCCCTATAACCTAATTTTTAAAAAAAAGATTTTATTTATTTATTTGAGAGAGACAGTGAGCACAAGCTGTGGGGAGGGGTAGATGGAGAGGGAAAAACAGACTTCCCCCTGAGCAGGGAGCCTGATGCAGGGTTTGATCCTATGACCTGGCTCATGACCTGAGCCAAAGGCAGACGCGTAACTGCCTAACCGACTGAGCTAACCACGTGCCCAACTATAACCTATTTTTTGATGTCTTAGGCATGTGGCAGTAGCCCACAGTCTAGTAATCTCCAGGCCCTTAATTGCTTTGCTTAAATATCTGCTTGAAGCTGATATGGCTCATTCTATTTGTTGTTTTCTGAGCATCTTCATTTACATAAGGAAGCCCCCGTTACCTAAAACTCCACATGGTTCTGCCTCCAGGCCTTTCTCGTTAATAATCTTAGGATGGAGGTCAGGGAACCCTGAAAGCTTTTTGGAGCTATCATGGACTACGGCAGGCAAGTGAGGCACTGATCTTAGGTGTAGAATTTAAAGAGGAACCAAAAACTCAGTTATTAAGATAAATAATATTTTAATGCAGTATTTTAAAAAATAAATATTAATGTAAAATCCAAAATAAATAAAATAAGTAAATTTTAGGTAATTACTATTGATTCCTTTTACCTCAGAGGCCAAAATGGTTCTGCACAGCCATTATTTAAATTTTGATTTGATATCCCTTACAATATCCTTGAAACTTTTCTAGCATATTTCCATTTCTTATTAATGGAAAGTGCACTAAATTGTGCATTCCCAACGTATCTCATCCCTTTTCTTTCCAAGTCCTTTGCCCAAAAAAGTTGACATGAAACAGAAGGCTATAAACTTCATAATAGACCTTTCGGCAGCATTCTGCATCTCTTACTCTGACATAGGGCCTAAGGCAGCAAACAAACTAATGTCATTCCTATGGACTCCTACTCCATGTATCACTTGTGAAAAACTTTCCTTACCACATTAGATCTCCACGGTCTCTAAAATTACTCCCTACAGTTCCGAAGTTGTGACCCATTTTAATGTATAATCATACAATGGCTACCTTTGCTGCCTGACACGTATGATCTCTGAAAGACAAACACTGTGAGCTACTTGAGGCAGTTACCTACTTTGTGTTCTAATACAAACAGTGAGCTAGCACAAATATTGAAAACCCACAATCTCCTTTCTCCTGGAATCCAGGAATGCATCTCTTTGCTTCTTGGCACATATACCTTTGGAACTGGTGACAGTACAATCAATGAACTCATCCTTTACACCCACAAGACCTGTTATTCATACTCTTCCTGATGTTATCTCAACTAGGAAATGTTCATGTAGCCTTTTAGATGTGTTTGAAGTTAATGCAGAATGCAGAAGCATTCTTCAAAGCTGCAGGTGGCAAATAGAACATTTCTTCTGTCAATGTTTTACCTTCAAAATGCATGACAATTTTGCATTCTTTTCTATAATTCACTCATTCAACAAATATTAGATGCCTATTCAGTGCCAGATATTGTCATAGGGATACAGCAGAGAATACACATATTTATATGTCTTTAATCTTAGAATATCTTATACAATTTAGCATAAGTAGAGAAACCAGAGCAAAAATTATCCCAAATCCAAGAGCAAAATTGGTAATCTGAGATGGCCAATTATTGCTTCACATACCACCAGTCATGCTTTTTGCACATCCTGGGATCATGTGTGCTCCAGTCTGAGAAGTAGAGTCTTTTATTAATTCCCAGAAAATAAAAGAAATATTAACATTAATATTTATTCCAGATGAAAATACTTGGGAGTACCATTAGAACTAACTCTTTGTCTTCATTTCCGTACATTAGGTTCTGCCTACATTCTGAAATGACAAAGATAGAATCCACTTCAATACCCACAGAAAATATATAAAGCTAATACTTTAAAAAAATCATGTGTGAGGAGAAGGTAGTCTCACTCTTGACACTTTAAGGTCAAATCTTCATTGACCTCGGTGCTACATTGTTCATGACTGCTTATCTTACCCTTAATTAAACTGCTCTTAAGTTCTTAATGCATCTACTGATCAGCTTCAGAAAGGATCTCTCCTTAGAAAAAGCTAATTTTCACACAAAAGAAACTTTTAGACTTGTCTCTGCAGAGAAATGCTGAACACTACTGCTGTTCCCTTTCACTGGTCAGAACCAAAGCTAGTGAGAAAGAATTATACTCTTCAGTGATAGTTTTGTCTTAAATAATCTGATTTTAGCAATAGGTCTAACTCCAAAAATAAACATGTGGTACTGCTTGTGCTTGTGGATATGTAGTATAGGCATTTTTGAAAGAAGGCAGTGATTTGCAATAGCACAGTAATTTCCTGTTAGGATTAAGATTCAATTCTCCAAAACTACAGTGACTGGATAACTTGCATGAAGCCTGGCTTTCCTACCTGAAATCCTCATGTCAACCATTCCAAATTATTACAAAGAAGGTCTCATATGTGTATTAATGTAGATGTGTGTTCTCTTGCAAACATTGTATAACCTCAAGAATTCAGATCTTTTCAGACTGTTTAAACTAGAAAAGTACTGGAACAACACAATATATATTTCACAACTATAGAACAGGGATTCTTACTAAGGAGTAAGTAACGGAATAATCTGTGTCACTGGCATGAGATCTCACTGCTTTAAAATTCAGATTAAGGTCAGTGTTTAATAACCTAAATTGAGGAGGGCCTAGGAATGCATACCTTTTAATAACTCCATAAAGGATGCTGATTCAAATACTAACATAAGACTAAAGTCCACTTTAATCCTGAATATAATTTAGCTTTCTGGTTTTGTAAAGGTTTAAATTTAACATGCCCAAAGGCTAGAATTCCACAGATTTAACGTTCTCTTCACTTCTGTCTTCTAATATTTTATATTAATGATGGTACTCAGAAGCATAAACCACCACTGTCCTCAGCACAGAAATCCCAAGTTATTACAATTCCTTATATATGAATCCACACCTGCGCACAGCTGCATCCTATCCTCAAATAGACCTTATTCCTACCAATAAGAGGAACTGAACATTTTTATATTTGAAACTTTAAGGTCAGTTTATTAAGTTCAATGATGAAAGCTATCAGAAGAATATTCTCCTGAAAATTATTTTTTCTTAGAAAAAAAGAAAGGAAAATCAACACCTCCACACAGCCACAGATGCTGTGGCAGTCACACCTCTCTGTAGATGGGGATAGTCCATTAGTCAGTCAGATCACTCTCTGGGTCAGCAGGATTATAGTCTGGATCATCCTCATCATCCTCTAGCTCCAAGTCATCCATTTCCTGGAACAGGGATTCATCTACCTCCACATTGTTTCCAGCTGTAAAAGACAAAAGATTTTGCCTTCAGTCTAATATTTAGGAATAAAAGAACTCACTGGCAACACCAAATACAAACTTCTAAATGTACAAGTGAGGTGCCAGTGAGGAAATCCTAAACTACTACCACAAATCATAATAACAATGATCTGTATTAGTCAGCAAAGACATACATTTTAAGAGACACTTCAGGCTTCCAGTTTAAAAAAAAAAATCCAGTTATAAAAAAAGCTTTCCTAGAATGCATTATTTATTATGTGGCATGTTATAAGTTGAAGACAATGGTATGCCCTGGTTACGCAAAGTTGATTATCACTGACCATGGGGCCTGAGCCAGGAGTTTTATCACTTCTAGTAGTGGTAGATATGTACGTCACTAGAACTCAACCACACTTGTTATTTAATTCATAGATATAACTTGATCTTTACTCTCAGATAGTTCCCCTTATAACCAATGGTATGCCCTTCTCAAATTCTAAATATCTGAGCCCTTTAGGAAGCAACACCTCAGCCTTGCATTAAACATCTTTACTCTTCAGTGCATCTAAAATACATAAAGGCAGGATATTATAGTACTCTTAAATCACCAGAAATTGTTCATCTTCCTTTCCTGTCAGACGTTAGCCTACTGATATTCAATTCAATGAGAATGAGTCTTGCTTTATCCCTAAAAGCAGTTAAGTAATAAAATTAAACTTTCCTAAGTCCAGGCTAAAGAATAACTCACTGATTCTGGAAGAGCCAGGAAAGACTTCCCAAAACAGATGACATCTAAAATACCTTTATGATAAATTTTAATCCACCAAGAAGAAAAGGTGTCAGGATTAAGCAATCATAGCAAAAGTCAGAAAGAAAAAATAAGGGCAGCCCGCGTGGCTCAGCGGTTTAGCGCCACCTTCAGCCCAGGGCGTGATCCTGGAGACCCGGGATCGAGTCCCATGTCAGGTTCCCTGCATGGAGCCTGCTTCTCCCTCTGCCTATGTCTCTGCCTCTCTCTCTCTGTGTCTGTCATGAATAAATAAATAAATAAAATCTTAAAAAAAAAAAGAAAGAAAGAAAAAATAAGACTTTGGGTTTTGTTTTTTTTATTTTTATTTTTTTTATTTTTATCCATCTATGATAGTCACACACAGACAGAGAGAGAGAGAGAGAGAGGCAGAGACACAGGCAGAGGGAGAAGCAGGCTCCATGCACCAGGAGCCTGACGTGGGATTCGATCCGGGGTCTCCAGGATCACGCCCTGGGCCAAAGGCAGGCGCTAAACCGCTGCACCACCCAGGGATCCCATGTTTTTGTTTTTAAATAAGACTTTGAATATTTCTAATTGGAACACAAGATTCTTTAGGAAAACTATATGGATATATCATAGATGAAGGCGAAATTGAAGGACTGCATAGGTCAACTTTTTCCTCTAACCAGTAGAGAGCCATCAAAAGATTTTGAGAAATATCATGATTAAACATGAATTTTAGAAATGCCACCTCAGGGGCAGTGACTAAAGGCACTAGAAAGAGGAAGAGACTGAAGCAGGGAGACAATATAAGAAGCCACCACAAACAACCAGGGAAAATGTTAAAATCTTCCAGTTAGGAGGAAAGAGTTGAAAATGTCTGGAAAAGACACTTCTGAAGCAGAATCAATGGAGAATTTTTGGTGAGTTACTGGATATGAAGAGATATTTGATCCATTAGATAGGGTAAGGAGTCAAGGCTGAGTGAAGACAGGAAAACTTCTAAAGTGCAAGAGAGAATGAGATACAGCTTTCTGGTTGAGAATTTCTCAATAAAATAGGAGAAAAACAAGCTATAAGTGAGAGAAGGATACATGAGGACAGCCTTGCTGGGTTTGTTTGTTTGTGGTTGTTTGTTTGAGACTAATAAATATCTTGGAGCAAGAATGCGGTAAGAGATGTAAAACAAAATGCTGAGTGTCAATAAGGGTGCAGCTCAAGTTAAGGAGCAATTTAATTTAGCACTGAGGCCATAACAACACTGTTTTAACCTTTTCCAGGAGACAGTCCAGGAACAAGGCTGAAAGGCCAGATGCTTCAGGATCACCAACTGGCAAGATAAGCACGAAGAAAGCTAATGAAGTGCAGAACTCTAGGGTGCTATCAGAAGTGTGACTGAGTATGGAGCCCAGTTAAAGGAACACACATAGGCCATAAGCTCCATGAGGGCAGGGACTGTCTACACCATTCTCTGCTGCTGTATCAGCAGCAGCCAGTACAACGCTTGGCTTATACTGGGGTGCAATAAATATCTATGGATGGACGAATAATGGATGGACAGAAGATTTAAAGAGGATAAAGTTTAGGATAAAAAGGAAAAGGAAAGCATAAGGAACTAGATGCTTCAGATAGTAAGAAACATAGTATGTTTCTTAGTATGAAACATAGATTTCTGGGTAGAGGGCATGAAGAGTTCCAGATTTGAGGTCTCTATAAAGTTCCATGACTTCTGATACTAGAAATTTGAGTAAACTAGGTCACCTACATTACATTGGCCTGGTTTGCTAGTTCTAGAGAGTAATGTGACCATAACTGTTTACTGCCATCTTTAATGTGGCTTAAATTATCAGAAAATTTTAAAAAATACATTGCTATAGTTTAGTGTTTAAAATGATCAAACATTACAATTTATTCTTCAAAATGTATTTGTTTATAGCCTTGGAAGGAAAATTTTACATTACACTCTAATTTTCACAGTTTAATATTAAAAACAGTACATTATATACATGTGGAATCTTAGTATTATCTTACCATCTTCCAAAAACTGGATATCAGATGTGTCAAGATTATGATCTGTTTCAAATAGCTGTTTCCCTAAAAGAAATAAATATGTTTAATTCAAACATATTTTTTCTATATGTTCCAGTTTCCCGCCTTTCCAGTTTTCCTCCATTGTCCCTACAATCCTTTAAAAAGTATAATTCAAGAAAAGAAGTCTGAAAACCTATTTTTCTGTGAATTTCAATAAATTTATCAATTCAGTAAGTAGCTAAGAGGCACGAGATAGGTATCTGCATTGAAATGAAGAAGTGAAAACCCAGGCTGCCTTTAGAGTCCTAGAAAAACAAATGCATTTGACTCTACCACTTCCTACACTTGTGATTCTGAATGCCATGGCAGCTATATCTCAAGATTTTTCCACTGCAATATTTAGATCAGAGATAAGCCATAAAAATTAATTATAATTATGAATGAAGGGCAGCCCCGGTGGCCCAGTGGTTTAGTGCCGCCTTTAGCCTGGGGTGTGATCCTGGAGACCTGAGATCGAGTCCCACGTTGGGCTCCCTGCATGGAGCCTGCTTCTCCCTCTGCCTGTGTCTCTGCCTCTCTCTCGCTCTCTCTCATGAATAAACAAATAAATAAAATCTTAAAAAAAAATTATGTATGAAGTAATATCATCATGTAGACAGAATGCTCTTTTTGTCCTAGATACCGAAGTACATTGTTTTTCTATAGAAATCTGTCCAAATGAGATCCTCTTGCAATGTAACAATATAGAACAGCCTGGCTTGGGGGGGGGGGGGGAACGGGGGCGGGGGGGAGATGAGTCATACCACTTAATTTATTTTTTCCTGCTTGTTCTTCTTCTTTCATTCGTTTCTTTTTAATTTCCAAGAGTTCTGCATCAAACTTGGCCTTCCAACTTAAGAAATTCTCAATTGTGACAGGAGTGCCATGAAATAATTGCTTAGAAAATAAAAATGACATGTGATCACATAAATGAGACACTTATAATTTATAATAAAATTATCATTTATAAAGAAATAATGCATATTTCTTGATCTTACCTGCATGAGCTCTATTAACCTTTACTAGTCTTTATTGATAATTATCCATGCTATGTGACCAATGCAGTAAGGGACTTCTCACATTTTATTTAACAAATCTTAAATAAAATTTACTTTTATTTTGCGATTGCCAAAAAATTACCAAAACCAAAAAAACCCACCAAAAAACTGAAAACAACAACAACAACAACAACAACAACAAAAAAACCCCAAAACAAAAACCACAAAGCAGATATAAAGAATAAGGAAAAAACTTAACTTTATAATATACCTTTTCAGCTTCTTCTGCCTCTTTCTCTTTTTGTTTCTTTTCTTCTTCTCTTCTAGTTTTTATTTGATCTACTATTTCATTTAATTTTTCTTGCACAGCTGTCACTAAAGTAAAGATCATTACCATACCAAGGTTTTCTTCTGCCTATGTAACCAAAAGAAAGGTTGTAGTGAGAAACCTACTCCTGAGGAAAACTAAAAAAAAAAACAATGAAACTGTTTCATCATAATTGCTAAATTCCATACATTTATAATATGATTACTAATTACTAATTCAGTTACACCATAAATTTAGACATCTAGATAAATGATCATTTAAGAATTGAGCACATACGGGCATATGGGTGATTCAGACCATTAAGTGCCTCGGGCTTAGGTCATGATCCCAGGGTCTTGGGACTGAGCCCTATGTCAGGCTCCTTGCTCAGTCACGAGTCTGATTCTCCCTCTCCCTCTCCCCCTCCCCCCTGCTTGTGCTCGCTCACTCACTCTATCCCTCAAATAAATAAAATCTTTTAAAAAGTGGGAAAAAAAGAATTAAGCACATATATATGAATAACTATATAATAAATTAAAAAAGACATGTGATTTGCTACATCCAACCTAAAACAGGTATCTGTCTTACTAAATTCTGTTTAATAATCAGAATTCAGAAAACCTTTTCCTACAGCAGCTAGTAACATAAGTTCTCCACCATATTTTCATGATTTAGATCTTTTGGGATATTTTAAGAGCTGAGACAATGAACTGAATCTTGAGGCCAAAGTGATTTCCTAATATAGAACAATAAAGAATGTAGGTATTTTTGTGATTTATCTTTACCTACCTTTTTTTCTTCAATTTGAAATGGCTTAAAATCAAATATAATAAAGCTCTCCAACTCATGAAAGAGATATATACAGTTGATCCTTGAACAATGTAGGTTGGCACTGCACAGGTCCACTTATATCTATTTTTTTCAATAAATACAGTATAGTACCGTAAATGTATCTTCTCTTCCTTATGACTTTTTAATAACATCTTCTCTAGCATACTTTAAGAATACAGTATATAGTACATATACCATATAAAACATGTGTTTATCAATGGTTTATGTTATGGGTAAAGCTTCCTGCCAGTTAGGAGTAGTTTTTGGGGAGTCAAAAGTTACACACAGATTTTCGACTATGTGGAAGGTCAGGTTCCCTCAACCTCTGTGTTGTTCAAGGGTCAACTGTAAGTCAGAAGCTATTTTGGAAGTTGGTTACTTGAAAGCAGAATAAAGTAAAACAAGATATCCTGCTTATCCATAGAAACAAAATACAGTTTGAAGAAAACAGACCAAAAAAAAAAAAAAAAAACAAAACAAACAAACAAAAAAAACAACAAAAAAATACCCAAATATATAAGCCAGAATCTTCACTCTAGAAAGAGAAGAGATTTCCAACCACTCCTTTGACAGAGCTGGCCTCAGGGGAAGTTGAGCAGGTATTTCAGCTCCTAGGCCCTCTCCGAATACAAGATTTCCAGCTGGCTCCTGTGATTCTCTTCTTGGGGCTTCTCTGTGGTGTCTCCATCCTAACCATCCTAAATCTGACTACACAAACTTCTCTCCTGAGTGCCGAACCCATAATAAAACTGCCCAGTGGACAGCAATACAGTGTCTCACAGGCATGTCAACACTGAAACCATCATTTTCTCTACAAAACCTATTTCTATGTTCCCCAACTCAGAGATCCAAACCACTAACCACCCAGCATGATCACTCACATCCCATCATAAGCTCTATCACTGCCTCTAATCTATTCTTAAATGTCATTTCAATCTGCCTACTGTTCTGTCAACATTGTTATTATCCTAACCTAGGACTCAATAATCTTCAACTTCAAATATTAAAAGAAATCCCTAACTGGCTTTCTTAAAATCTGTGGTCTTGTCACCCCCAAAATCAACTTCTCTGGCCACTTAGCACACAAACATAACTAATCCAGTCAGTATCTTGCTTAAAACTCCTCAACAGCTTCCCAAACCAGGAACAAGAGCATATTTTCAAAATAGTTCAGAAGATCCTTTAGGTATTAATTTGTTTAGTTCCATCACATAATATCACTAACTTCAAATTCTAAGCTCAAGAAATTTAGTATGACTAGAAGTTCTGGAAGGAAATATTGCCCTCTTCTCTCCCTCTCACTTCCATGACCCTTAGCTTGCTCTTCTACTAGCCAAGAACTTTCCAATACCTATTTTTTTCTTCCATTCAACCCCTGCTCTCAGAGGGATCGTAAATCCTGGTTGCTGCTTGTAAGCTTGAGGAGAAGGAAAAATAATAAGAAACAAAACAAGTAGCAGTCCTCTCCCCAGATTGCAGGCAATCTAGACTACAACAGGTCAGAGGGGTTGGAAGTTTTAATTTTTTTAAAAGTCAGAATTTTTAACTGCATACGGGGCTGGACGTTCTGAGAAGCAGATAAAAACTGTATTTAAAGTACCTATCAGACATTTTATTGACTAAAAAGTCATGAGGCTGACTGAGTTTCAAACAGGGATATACGGACAACTTCTCTTACTCAAATTTTAAATGTACAGTGGGAAACAAAAATAAAGATGCTTTGTGAATATCTATATCTGTATGTATATGTTTAAAGAGAGAGATAACATTAATTCTCCCTGTCCAATGTACTGGTTATACATATTTACTAGCATTTTCTGACTCTTGAAATTAATGTATACTTAAGGCCAATAAAAAATGCCATTAAAAGACTTATTTCCTTACCTGTAATGCTAATAGTTTTAAAATATCTGAGACATCATTATCTTCTAGATTTTCCTGGGAGAATATTTCATAAAGAGGGGCTTCATCTGGGTATTTTTCACTGTATGTGAACTTGAGGGTAGTCTGGACAGCTAAAGACAGAAGATACAAATTTGATATAAATTATCTTTAAATGTAAAGTATCAAGAGGTCGACATCTTTGTTGGATCAGTGATTAATTTACAATGTGTCAATGAAAAGTAACACAACAGATATTCCTGCAAAGAAAAACAAGGTTACTATGAGATAACCACTTAGACAACCACTAAAGATAAATAACTACCTACCACAAAGATGAAGTGAAAACAAATCATGGGAATACCAAAAATCACCTTGAACGCATGAAATACATGTCTTACTTATCAGTAATTTACCATATCATATCGCATGTCTGAGAAAGAGCATGGATAAAAGCCACTCTTTTTAAAAACCTCCTTAAGATGAACAAAAGGCACTGAATATAATACGCAGAAAAATACTACCTTGGGCTTATTTTCAGGTCTCTACCAGACCCAGTTCCCAGTGAGGAAGATCTGGCATTAGCCCTGGAATCTACATTTCTATCTGAACAATTCCAATAGGGTACTGCTAAAGGATTGCTAGATGACACAGTTTTGAAATAGGGTTTCAGAGGTTGTCAGAGAAACTTAAAACCTGATTCATTTTATGATAATTTTTGTCCCAATGTCAACTTTTTTCACTGAATAAAAATTTAACTGGGTCAAGGAAACACCTCTACGAAAATCTAAAAAAAAAAAACAAAAAAAAAAACAAACAAAACACCTGATTCATCAATACATTCTCACTCACTCTTTTGGCCTGTATCAATGCATACATCTGACACTTGTACAGAAGTGAGATTCTGGGCAGCCCCGGTGGCACAGCGGTTTAGCGCCACCTGCAGCCCAGGGCGTGATCCTGGAGACCCGGGATCGAGTCCCACATCAGGCTCTCTGTATGATGCCTGCTTCTCCCTCTGCCTGTGTCTCTGCCTCTCTCTGTCTCTATGAATAAATAAATAAAATCTTAAAAAAAAAAAAAAAAGAAGTGAGATTCTTACAGGCAGATCAGTGCAAGGTATCTCTCTACAGACCAGCCTGGTGAATTCTCAATGCCACCAGGCAATTTGTAATTAAGCAGCAGTGCCAAACATTTTCTGTTAAAACTTATTATTTACACACACAAAAATAAAAATAAAAAAAATAAAACTTACTAATCATAATGATCCTTTGTCTAGACTTCGACTTTCTTGTAACTCACATTTTAATTATTAAGAACAATCCTAAATTTTGTATGGAACCACAAAAGAACTCAAATAGCCAAAGGAATGTTGAAAAAAGAAAACCAAAGCAGGAAGTATCATGAATCCAGACTTCAAGCTATATTACAAAGATGCAGTCATCAAGACAGTATGGTACTGGCACAAAAACAAACATATATATCAATGGAACAGAATAGAAAACCGAGAAATGGACTCACAACTATATAGTCAACTAATCTTTGACAGAGTAGGAAAGAATATCCAATGGAAGAAAAAAGATAAAATATAGTCTCTTCAACAAACAGTGCTGGGAAAACTGAATAGCCACATGCAGAAGAATGAAACTGGACCACTTTCTTGTACCATACACAAAAATAAATTCAAAATAGATGAAAGATCTAAATATGAGACAGGAAACCATCAAAATCTTAGAGAACACAGGCAGCAAACTCTGACCTTGGCTATAGCAACTTATTTGATATGTTGTTGGAGGCAAGGGAAACAAAACCAAAAATGAACTACTGGGACTTCATCAATATAAAAAGCTCTGCCCAGTGAAGGAAACAATCAACAAAACTAAAAGGCAGCAGGGATCCCTGGGTGGCTCAGCGGTTTAGCGCCTGCCTTTGGCCCAGGGCACGATCCTGGAGACCCGGGATCGAATCCCATGTCGGGCTCCCGGTGCATGGAGCCTGCCCCACGTCGGGCTCCCAGTGCATGGAGCCTGCTTCTCCCTCTGCCTATGTCTCGGCCTCTCTCTCTCTCTCTCTGTGTGGTTATCATAAATAAATAAAAAATTTAAAGAAGAAAAAAAAAACTAAAAGGCAGCCTATGGAATGGGAGAAGATATTTGCAAATGCCTTATCAGATAAAGTGCCAATATCCAAAATCTATAAAAAACTTACCAAACTCAACACTCAAAGAACAAGTACTCTAGTCAAGAAATGGGCAGAACATATGAACAGCCATTTCTCCAAAGATGATATCCAGATGGCTAACAGACACATGAAAAGGCACTCAAAACATCACTCATCATCAGGGAAATTCACATCAAAACCACAATGAGATACCACCTCACACCTGTCAGAATGGCTAAAATTAACAACATGAGAAACAACAGATGTTGGTGAGGATGCAGAGAAAGGAGACACTCTTGCACTGCTGGTGGGAATGCAAATTGGTGCTGTCATTCTGGAGAACAGTTTAGAGGTTTCTCAAAAACAAAAATAGGGGTGCCTAGGTGGCTCAGATAGATAAGCATTCGACTCTTGGTTTGGGCTCAGGTCAAGATCTCATGAATCATGGGATAGAGTCTCAAGTTGGGCTCTGCACTCAGCTCAGAGTCTGCTTGGAATTCTCTCTCTCTTCTCCCTTTGCCCCCACCCCCCATTCACACAGGCACCTGTTCTTGCTCTAAAATAAATTAATAAATCTTAAAAAAAAAAAAGAAAAAATAGAACTACTCTATGATCCAGCAATTTCACTGTTTACCCAAAAGATAAAAAATACAGATTCGAAGGGGTACATGAACCCCGATGTTAATAGCAGCATTATCAACAATAGCCACACCATGGGGAGAGCCAAAATATCCACTGACTGATGAATGGATAAAGATGTGGTATATATACAACAATGGAATATTACTCAGCCATCAGAAAAAAAAAATGGAATCTTGCCATTCACAATGATGTGGACAGAGCTAGATAGGGTATATTATGCTAAGTGAAATAAATCAGAGAAAAGACAAATACCATTATGATCTCACATGTGGAATTTAAGAAAGAAAAGAGATCAACATATGGGAAGGGGGGGAGGAGAAGAAAATAAGGCATAAGAAATTCTTAACTATAAAGAACTGAGGGTTAATGGAGGAAGGTGGATGGGGAGGTGGGCTAGGTGAGTAATGGGTATTAAAGAAGGCACTTGTTATGATGAGCACTGGGTGTTGTATATAAGTGATGAATCACTGAACTCTACTCCTAAAACCAATACTGCACTGTATGTTAACTAAGTAAAATTTTAAATAAATAATAAAAAATAATTTAAAAAAAAGACTGTTAGGCCAGTAAGGATACATAGTATCTTATGGCATTTTCTTTCTTTTTTTACTGCTAGAATAAGATTTTTTTTATATGTTTACTGATTTTACTATTTGATGTAATAGATATTCATTATAGAAAATTTAGAAATACATTAAGGGGAAAATAAAATCAACAATAATCCCACAATCATGAAGAGATCACTGTTGCCATTTTGGGATATTTAAAGTATCATAAAAGTATTTTTTAAAGGATATTTTAAAGTATCTTTCATATATTTATTTACATTTCAAAGTATAAAAGGATACTCATGTTGTATTTGAGATTCTGTGTATAAAACCTATATATATACATACATACATATAAGCATATGACTGTGTCCAACATCTTTTTAATTCAGATTTTAGTAATATCTCTGTGCTAATCTCATTTTGAATTGTATAAAACAGATTTGGTTATCAAGAGATGCCACTAAAATTGCTATTACTGATTGCTCATGGCAGAATTTTAACTGACTAGCTTAACATTAAAAAAAAAAATCCTTGGGGTTAACACCACCTTAAGTAACGTTTTTATCAAATTCCAAAATTAACTGAACTAGACTAATAGTGGAAATGAACTTCAGATCCTCTCCCATCTGCCACATTTAAATTAATCTATTTAATTTTAAATTATTGGTTTTATAACTGCTTTATTTATGTCAGTATATTTGTCTTACTTCTATAGTTGTATAATAGTGGGTTTTATCTGGTTTTGTGTGTGTGTGTGTGTGTATTTAAACAACAGTATAATATCCATCCTAAAGAAAAAGAGAAGAGAGATATTTATCCGGCTTATTTTGTTTTTTTCTTTTTTCTTTTCTTTTTTTTTTTTTTTTTAAAGATTTTATTTATTCATGAGAGACACAGAGAGAGAGGCAGAGACATAGGCAGAGGGAGAAGCAGGCTCCCTGCAGGGAGCCTGATGTAGGACTTGATCCCCAGATTCTGGGATCATGCCCTGAGCTGAAGGCAGACACTCAACTGCTGAGCTACCCAGGCGACCCTATCTAACTTAACTTGTAACAGCAAATGTCCAATAAGCAATCTAAATGCCCAGAGAGGAAAAACAATCATGGAGAAGTGGAATAAAACATAGTCACTGAAATATGCATACATTCACAGTCTGGTTCTAGACAATAATCTTCTACCTTTTCTCCATCTGTTATATTGTTAATGTTTCTTTTTCACTTTTTAAAATTAAGTCATTATGTCAGAATATATCGCATTGACCTTCTCTCTGTTTCTAAGTCATGTTTACATAGTAAATGCTAATTAGAGGATTGCAACATTCATACTAGGTTCCTGACAGCACCTAATTTAGCACCTCCACATCTTCACTCCCCAGCATAATGGCTGCAGAATGAGTATCATTGCTGAGAGCAACTTAGGAGAACCACAAGTATTTTTTTACTGGACTTACTTTCATCATTTTCTCCAGCCTCAGAGGTCACAGTAATGGTGAAACTGGGTGGATTTTCTGATAATACTGCAAGAAAATATACACAGAGATTAAGTTATTAAGATGCTTCCTAAGGCAAATGCTTTTCTTATTAGCAAAATATCACTACCCAGTCCTGGAAACTGATCCCTAGTCTGTATTTTCACTTCCAAAAATACAGACTGAACAGAACATTCAAGTGATAAAACACTCACCAATTTTCTTTTTAAATCTAGGATTATCTTTAATTTGGAAAAAATACCTATAGCAGATACATTTTTGAAAGTTTTATAAAATCAATTCAAAATTTCCATCTATATGTGGAAAACTACATTCTAAAAAGTAATGGCAGAATGGCAAAAAAAGTTTGATGTTTTATCAGAAACTATCTGTTGATATTCAGTATTATCACTAATTTTTAAACATATATTTCCTAAGGTATAATTCAGAACCTCTATGACAAACAGTAAATATTAATTTGTTAGAGTTTGTGTCTTCTAACTATTTCTTTCTCCCACATCATCCCTAGAACCAAACTTTATTCTTTCACCAATTACTGAGTCTCTACCATCTTTCACGGAATTACAAAAACAGCCATGAATCCAAATACCAAATTGCTTACAATTTGTTAAGCAAGTCAGGATATGCAAATCAACATTTACATAAATAAGAAAGCTTTATATATCATTTTACAGCCTAATGCCTATCTGATAGCATATATGTTTATATTTCTTTCCCCACAAGAATACTATAAAAACTATGAGAACTTCTGAATCAGTGCCTGGCTGTATCTAGAAATTCAATAATTTCTGGAAAAATGACAAGAGTTAAAACAATAGAATGGAAGTAGAAAAACAAAAACAAATTAATCTTAAATCCAGAACCATTAGAAGAGTAAACAAAAAAAATTCAGGCCACCTGTGATTGCTGCTGAGCCCCTGAGAAAAGCCTGTGCCTCACTCCAGCCCTGGGAAGCACTGGCCCCTGACAAGGTTGGCAGCAGCTCAGCAACCTCTTTCTGAAATGAAAGGGCAAGGACATCTCTGAAGAAGTCACCAAGGAAACTACTCAAAAACTTCTTAAGCCTTCATAAATATTCATTATCAATAAGATTTTCAAGACATATGACTTCATTTTAATTGAAGTTTGAAAGTACTCAAAGCATGATGAACATTTATGATTACTGTCAAAGTATTTGTCAAGAAGATAAAACTCACTAGACTCATATTTTAATAGGCCTCAGATAGTCCAGCCGACGCTAAAAAAAGTCCCTGAAAGATAATTCTCATAAAGCTTTTATAATATGACTCTACCTTTTTTTTGACAAATGTGTATAAAATATATTTGAGGCATTTTATTTCTATTTCTTTCCATGACCAACTTTAGCATTTATGTGTCATAAGATGTAAACACAGCGACTATAAAAATAAGGGTTCAACCCATCTTATTACCACTTTTAGGATTCCATGAGGCTGTACTTTAAGGGTTGCTATACCTAATAACAACAGCTAACGTCTACTGAACACTACTTTGTGCCAATGTTGTACTATGCATTTACACAAAGATCCTTTATTCTTACACCAGGACCACAATTTTATACTGTTACCATATTTCACCAAATTTAAAAGACTGTCAAGTATATGAGATACACCCTACTTTATAAACTAAAAACAAAGAATCTGCCAGTTAAACTGTAATACATAATCGATTATAAGACAAATTCATATTTCAGAGATGTTAAAACACAGAAATGTCTTAGAACCAATTAAATATACTATTATCCCAATTTCATAGCGTGGAAACTGAGATAAAAAAAAGCTTTTAAATAATCTGCCCAAGGTTATTCAGCTAGTAACTAGAAGAACTGAATAGACTATATTGAGTTTCATGTGAAAAGAAAATGTTTTTTCCACCTGGAGAAGTCATTTGAGCTAGGCTATGAATTAAGGCATATTGAAAAATAAAGATGGAGAAAAGAAATGTAGGGAACAGAAACACGGTAGCAAGGGCATAATGGTGGGAATGTTTAAGGAATATATAGGAAAGAAGAAATTATTCCATTTTGTGGATGTATATGTGAGTGAAGACAAATAGTTGAAAAAAGTTTAGTTGTGGACAATGATAGTTTTTTTAGCCACAGCAGTATGGGCAGAATTGTATTTCTAAACATAGGAAGATAAGGCTAGCAACAGAGCAGAAGTTGGAAGAGGGGAAACAAGACTAGAGGTACAATGATCGTAGATAGCTATTAAAATCATCCCAGCAAGGTTAATGAGGTTCTGAACTAGGTTAGGAGCCATGGGGATAGCAGGGAACAGGGAGGATTCTACATTCCAAATGTGCAGGCAGAGGATGGTTAATGCCACTAATAAAAACAAAAAAATACAAAAGAAAAATCAGAGATGATACATTTAAATGACACAAGGAACTTTCTGTTGGAGACACTGAGTATGCAATATGCAATCAGAAACCGGCAAATGGAGTTAGAGAGTTGGGCTTGAATTTAATTTGGAGTCACACACACAGAAGTGATAGCTAAAGCTATCAGACTAAATGAGATCACGAGAGAGAAAACAGAGAAATAGGACCAACACTGGCTTGGCTTTGTAAGGAATCCTAAATTTGGAAATCAAAAGAGGAAAAAGGGCCAGAGAGAAAAAGAAAAGCAGTAGCCATGAAGTCAAGACATACTCAAAAGCAGCCTATTTTATTTGTGAAGGCACCCCAACTATTGAGATCCAGGTCTGGTAGGGCAGCGCTGTCTACAATGTGTACTATATGGGTCTGTGGAGCTCTATCAGGGGAAAATGAGCAATGAACCACTGGCCTGCAAGATCAGATCTAAATCCCTAACAAGGCCTTCTGTAATCCTGCCCCTGTTCATTTGTCGTGCCTCATTTTTCATGACCCCAGTACACACTTTATGTATTAGGAATACCAAGCCACTTTCCTTTTAAATATATTTTGCTATTGCAGAGTCCTGCTTCTGCACATGCTGTGTCCCTTCCCCCATCACCCCTTAGAGTTCTCCAAAACAATCAAGACTCTCCCCTTTTCCTGTGCTCCTATATGTTCTTCTATGAAAGAATCGTCACACTATATTGTAAATTACTTATCTGACGTCTTTTCCCAACAGACTGAGATTCTAACAACGCATTTAATAAATATTTGGTAAATGAGGACTTGGGATGCTAGCATGCACGTCATGGAATTGCCTGACCTCGGGAGACATACAGAATAGGGAGGCAAGATAGACGAGAAAGAAGTCGATAAACTCTTAATCCATGAGAAATCATGAGGAGAGGCGTGTTCAGTAAAAAAACTGGAATGAAGAACTGTGGGGCTACAAAGTTTATGGACAGAAAGAGGACTTTCAGAGGCCAAAATTCTAAAGATGGCATTTACAAGGTATGGTCATGCCCCCACACAGTTGAAGGAAATGGAAATAAAAACTGTTCATTGATGAAGACAAGGGATTGTGAAGCCATATTGGAAGAATCAGCAACTAAGATGGTAAATTTCCAGTAGAGAGTATCTTATACTTAACAGTTACAAAGTATTTGCACTTACATTATTTCCCATTAAACACATATGGAAACTGAAGCCTGGAGAGGTTATGACTTGTCCAAAGACATAGGGCTCATATCCACTATACCAAGCTGCCATTACAGAGAAAAAAATGTGAGCCAGGAACAACAATAACAAAAAAGGACACTGGAGAACACTGCTAGTATCCCCTACTATCTACTCCCCCTCTCTTCTAGTTACTATACCACTTCTAACTGAGCATATTAACCACCCAGAATGAAGACTGCATTTCCCAGCCTCCTTTCCAGTTAGGTCTCACCTAAGTTCCAGCTAATGAGATGGAAACAAGGAAGTCCTTTGACAGTTTCCAGGAAATTTACTTAAGAAACTGCTGTCTTTGGATTTTTCTCTGTCCCCCTCACTCCCCCATTCCTTTATCTACTCTAAAGCCTGTAAAGGAATGTTACCATCTTCACCATGAGGTAGACACTACATCTAAGGAATAACAAGGAACTAAGCAGCAGCCTGGGTACCTGAGGAATTCTTGGACTAAAGCTACACAACTATCTTTTATGTGCAAAAGCAATAAACTTTTACCTTTTTAAATTTATTCAGAGAGAGAGTGTGAGGGGTGGGGGTGGGGGCAGAGGGAGAGGGAGAAAGAATTTTAAGCAGACACTGCGTTAAGTGCGGAGCCCAACTCAGGGCTGGATCCCATGATCCTGAGACCATGACCTGAGCCAAAATCAAGAGTCAGACACCTAACCAACTGAGCCACTCATTTCCCCTAAACTTTTACCTTTTTGAAACCACTGCTTTTTGGGGTTTTCTGTCACAGCTGGACCTAATCCAAAGAAAGAAAAGAGAAGAAAAGGAAGGAAAAGAAAGAAAAAGAAAAGAAAAAAGAAAGAATATTCCAAAGCTTGGAGTAAACTAACACAAAGATGAGAAAGTTACTTAATTGGACTTGAAACGATGAATGATTCATCAGCACTGACGAAGGAATAATCCCATTCCAATGCATTACTGAGTTAGAATAAAATTAGCCTTCACTAAAGATACCAGATTTCCGCCGCTGTAAGTGGATCAAAATATTTTTGAGAAAAAGAATAAGGTTATTGGGCGTAGTGGAAGGAACCAGTGGAGGAGCAGGAGAAGTGTTGAGGGATATGGGCGCAGACGATGGTAAACTGGACAGAATTAAGGACAGACATAATGGAGGTAATAGCTGAAAGGTACACTAAAGGGACACACGAATGACATCAGGGTTTTCACAAAGAACCAGATAGCCCATATTAAAATAAGTCCCTGTAGTTCTCAGGGACTCTCTTAGAAAAACTGCTTTTGAAAGATGACCTGTGCCCCATCTCTAAGATGCAGTTATAACTATTACATGCTCATAGATACTACTTAGAGGTACTGACACAAGCAAATACCGAATCACGTACCTCTCTTTGTAAGACCAAACAGAATTAAGGGAACTTGACTTTTGGTTAGCCTGAAGCTAACCAATTTGTTTCAACAAAATTCCCCATAGCCAGAGATTTTGATACAGAAATGGAAATAACCAAATTCTACTACCTTAGCAGGGCCTTGTCAAGTGAAGCACTACTGAAGGAGAATGTGGTATCAGGAGAGTCCATTTATATTTTGGAAGACTAGTTGTTAGGAGGATTGGATCAATGTGCAATCAAGCTACAGAACAGGCAAAAAGAAGAAACTGTATTATGATTTGTCAAAATTCACAACAAATTCAACACTGGACCAAAAGTTCTTTGCAAATAGTCAAGCAATCAACTTTGAGGTTAGGCTAGGTCTATGTGGCTAGAACTATGGGCTAGCTAGATGCTGCCTCTTAAGCATCCACAAGGGGGGCCATGATGTGCTTAACAAAGAAGGCTTCTCTGGCAAGCACCACGCTTTTATTTAAAAAAAAAAAAAAAAAAGTATATCTACTTCCTTCATCAACGGCATTGAGCATTTACCAAATCTAATATTAAATGGGATTCAAAATGAAATTAGAAAACTGCGAATTAGTGTTCCTTGGCAAACTGACACAAGCAAGCTCTCTCCTTTAACCGGGTATGAAAACAGGAAGGTAAGAAATCATCAACAGAAAAGAAGGCTATAAAACAGTAAACCTTGCAAATCCTCATGATTTCAAAAGATCAAACATGGAAGGGTCTTATCCCAAACTCCTCTGCCTTTTCCCTGAGAGGTTTCATAAACAACACGATCATGAGTAAGGCAAAGTTCCTTAAATAAATAAATAAATAAATAAATAAACACACGCAAAAACACTATAAATTGAGACATCTTATTTTACTTTATTTATTGCAAAGTTTATAGGAATGGTGTCAGGAATTAGAGACGGATGGACTCAGCTGATACTGCAGAACACTTGAATGCATCCAAGATTCATAAATTGTTTTTTTTTTTTTTATTACCCTGGCTCAGAATCCTCAAGCACTTTTGCGCCTGACAAGAATTTCACATACTGAACTGTATCAGAGCTTAGTACAATTTGAAAGAATCCTGGTTTAGGATTAAAAATGTATCACTTTTTAAAATGCTTCTATGCACAGTATTTAATGAGGGATACTTTATGTCCATAGAAAAGAACAGTATACCTTATGCTTTCTTAACTCTACCTACACGGTGCCAATTACATTTCCAATGTACCAGAAATGACCAAACGTCAGGATTAAGAACATACCCAACAACGGACCCTATGTTCCATTTTATTTAGACATTGACATATAAGCAAGGAGAGAGAAGGGAGCCAGACTCCATACACACTCACCCAGTTAATGACACTCTCAAACCCCTCTTCACTCATCCCCTTAACATCCTCACAGCACAGCTGTACTGCTGGTGAGAGAGAACATGAACAGGACTGGAGCTATACAGGGGTAGCTGAGAGACATCTGCCTGTTGGCAAAGCAGAACAAAATTTGCTACCATTGCAAGCAGTGGTCAAAAAGTGGAGCTAAGAAAACTAAAGCTGAACAAGGAAAAAGGGAGAGGGATGGGAGTGGAACATACCTTACATTCTGAATTCTGACCGTCAGGGACGGACGACAGTCAAAGGAAGGGATGGGGGCTGTCAATCCCACAAACCTATAGGTTCTACTCCCTCATCTTGGCTTTAATTCGATCACTTCGCAGGCACGGAGGAGGGCTACGGTGGTTATCAGGCGGCACTTTCAAAACCCATCTGAAGCGCGGCTTAATACAGAAAAATCCTCTGCCTTTAACACCCGTCTAATGAGCTTCTCAACGATTTTTTTTTTTTTTTTTACATTGGCCCAACCTACCAAGTAATCGTCTGCTCCCCCTCATCCCGGCTGGAGCTAGATCCCACGTTCCACGTGTCCGCAAAGTGAAGGAACAGGAAAGGGGGCCCAAGCCCCAAGCGGTTCCGCCGGTTCCGCCGCTAACGTGCTGGCTGGCCGGACCCCAAGCGAGCCACTCACCTTCCCTGCGCCTCCATCACCCTGCTGGAAGCCAGACGCGTCCAGGCCAGACGACGTCTACTCTACTACCCCTCCCTAACAACCTGTGAATCTGCAGTGGGACTGAGATGTGTGCCGCATCATTCACTGGGCATTCGCAGGGAATATAAAGACAAAGAAAAGCGACAGATCTCAGGGACACCCCCCCAAAAAAAAATAAAAATAAAAACCCCCAAAAAAAACTGATTCTGGGCGACTTCGACAACAGCACTCTGAATCCCATCAACTCTGAAACACCAGCATATGAAAAACAGCTTCTACCCCCGACGAAAGGGGGAAAACCGACGCCTCTTGCAGCTCTGGAAAAGCTGCTCCCACTTAAGAGCATCTGTTTTCGTGTGTTTCCCCTAAAGCTCGGGTTCGCTGTAAGTTACCCAGAGACCAACGTGCACCCAACTCCGATTCCAGGCCTGACGCTCCCCAAGGGGCCTCGCCGGCCCGGCCCGGGCTCTCCAGGGTTCGGGCACTAAGCGCTGGAGTTACTCCTAAGGGTCTGAACACGTCGGGAGAAGAAGGTGAAGAGAGAGCGGCGGGCGAGGTGGCCACGCGGCCTCGCCGTCGCCGTCCTCCATCCTCCATCCTCGCCCGGGAGGCCGAGGGCTCCGGCCCGTCCCACGCCGCCCCCGGGCCGCTCGGGGCCCGCAGCTGCGCAAGTCACCTGTGAAGGAGTCGGGGTAGATGGACTCCAGAGCCTCCAGCTCGTTGCGCTGCTCCTCGCCGTAATCTGTCATCGTGGCCCTCGCCGCTGCCCATGGGCCGCCCGGCCACCCCGGCGGCGCGCTGCAGCTGGGACCGCCGCCGCGCCGGGAGAGCGGGCAGCGGCCGGACCCGCGCAGGCGCAGACTCCCCGGCTGCGAGGCCCGGGGCCCAAGGCCAGGCCGGGCCTGCCGAGCAGCAGCCCCGCGCGGGCCTACGCCTGCTCGCTAGTTCCGCGTTCGACTCGTGAGGCCTGGCCAGCCGAGCGCGGAGCAGCTGCTCCGTTCCCCGCCCCCACCCCCGCCCCCGCCCCCGCCCCCCGCCGCGCCACCGCCGCTAGGGATTCGCTGAGGCGCGGCGGCCCCCGGCGCGGCGTCCGCTCCGGACAACGGGGCCCGGGTCCCGGGCTTCTCGGGGCCTGAGCCTGGCAGGCCGCTCAGCGCCACATCCCCCGCTCGATGGGTCTAGCCTGAGAGCCGGCCGCGCGTACCGAGGCGGGACGGGGCGGCTGCTGGCGGGACGCGGGGCGCTTCCGCGAACCTCGTCGCTTCCGGCTTCCGGGTCGCGGCCCTGCGGCCCCCGCGGGAAGGAGCGACGCGGCGCTGAGGCCGGTTCTCGCTGCGGTCGTGTGGTTCGTACGCGTGCGGAGCCTCCCGGTGTCCCGGCGGCCCGGGGGGCGGGGGTGGGGGTGGAGTGGGGAGGGCGAGAGGCCGAGCAGGGGAGGCTGCGGGCGGCGGAGGAGCGGAAGCTCTGCTGGGGCGGCGGGCCCGGAACGGTCGGGGGCCCGGAACGGTCGGCCTGCAGCGGCCGTGAGCCGGGGGGGTGGGTGGGGGGGTGGGTAGGAGTCGCCTGAAGGCGGGAAGTCGCGGTTCCGGATCCCCGCGCTTCCCTGCTGCGTTCGGCAGGTGAGCGCGGCCGGACGTGGATCTAAATGCGGTTTATTTCCGTGGAATGATGAAAGGGATGTAGGTTTCAGGAACGGTTTTAATAAGCAATGTTCAGTACTCTGGGAAACGTTCCGAATTGTTACCTGGGAGGATAAAATCGAGGAGGTGATCCTGAAAAAAACAACAACAACAAAAAAACATCCAGATGCGTCTGTCGTCTCCCAGGGTCATCGCGGCCGTCGAGATGTTCAGAGAACAGAAGGGCAGGGCTGAGTGAACAAGGTACTTTTTTAGGGGGAAGGATGTTAACAGACTGTTTATGTTCGTGATAAAGGGACGTGCGGAGTTGTAGGGAGACGCTCGCAGCAGATTACAAGATTTGTCACGCTGTTTTTTCTTTCTTTCTTTCTTTCTTTCTTTCTTTCTTTCTTTCTTTTTCTTTTCTTTTTTCTTTCTTTCTTTTTCTTTTCTTTCTTTTCTTCTTTCTTTCTTTCTTTCTTTCTTTCTTTCTTTCTTTCTTTTCTTTCTCTCTTTTTCTTTCTTTTCTTTCTTTTTCTTTCTTTTCTTTCCACCCTGTGTTTTTCATTTTCTGATACAGAAGCGGATTTCACTTGTGCAGTGGGGGTAACGCTTCACGAAGAAGTTCCCCGACGGATAAAAGCTCTGAAGTTCTCTCTGTCTTGTTACGATGATGATGTACTACGGAAGGAGCAGCAGCAGCAGCAGCAACAGGCGTTTTGATCTTCTCCTGGGAAGTATGAGCTTGCAGCTGGGGAATGTGTGAGAGCGAAGGTATTGGGGGGGGGGGGAGACACCCCCTGGTCCTGATTCTGCGCCTTGAGGATTGCTTTGGGGCATTCTTTGAGACTTTGGGGAAAAAAATCGGGAACTCTACTGAGGATGGCGAGAATCAAATAAAGCCCTTGAAGTAACTTTGCAAATGTAAGGTGCTTATTTTTCTGGATACCCTGAGTTTACAGAAAGTAACCGTTTGTTTGTTGGGGGGGGGGGCGCAGGGGGGAAGGGGGAAGAGCTGGACAGAAGAACAGTCAGTGCAAAGGCGAGAGCCCACGTGGTATTTTGGAAGCCAGTGCGGCTGATTCCCCGTGGACTGGGCGGGATTTGCAGATCCCGCAGGGTCACGATTTGATGTGGGTGGTAAGAGAGGTCAGAAGGGGTTTCTGGCTAGAATAAGGGGAAAGATGAAATTCTAGTGACCTAAATGACAGGCAATGAAGACAAGGAGTTTGGCACAGACGTGGATAGCACCTTTAAATAATGGGCCAAAGAAAAAGGTCAGGTGAAATGTTAAGACTTCTCCTGATAGTCAAAACAACCTATCAAGATGGATACAATGTAGCGAAACAACCAATTTAAAGTTTACATTAGAAAAAAGATCTGTGTTGGTTACAAGTTTTAATTCAGCAAATGAAGTGCTCCTTTATTTGCTCTGCTATTAACAGAAGTTTTGGTAAGAATACCCCTTTTAAGCCTGTTACATATATATCCACTATAAAGCCTTCATATTTTAGAACGCTGTTGTGATGGCTTTGTTTGTTTCTGTTTTTTTTTTTTTTTTAAGATTTTATTTTTATTTATTCGTGACAGACACAGAGACAGAGAGACAGAGACACAGGCCGAGGGAGAAACAGGCTCCATGCAGGGAGCCGGACGTGGTACTGGATCCTGGGTCTCCAGGATCAGGCCCTGGGCTGAAGATGGCGCTAAACCGCTGCGCCACCAGGGCTGCCCCTGTTTGTTTCTTAATCCTGCGGATAGCTCCCTGAGGGAGTCCAGTGCTAACGTAATCAAGAGAACACCCTCAAATCTTTACCACACTTAATTTTTTGGTTGATCTCTAATTTCATTTTGACGATGACAGAGACACTTCACAGATACATGAAGACCCGTAACTCCCTGCAAGGTGGGGCGGGGGGAGTTGTTAGGAGGCAAATTGGCTTTCTTTTAGTGTTTTGTTTTTAATCTTTAAAGATGTTGGAGAACAGGAGTGTTTGAAGCTCTGCAGATAGGCAGATTGTGTAGGGAAACCGTCACAGGGTTTGAAAACAAGTGAGAAGCCCAGCTTTAGCTATTTATAAGCGTATAAGATCATTCAGAGAACATGGAATCATGTATATAATAGCACATTGAGATTCAAAAGTAGGATATTAGTGTTATTCGTAATCTTGAATGTATATAGTATCTTCTGAAGCACTTTTCTCTTACTGTTCTCCATCTTCATTACTAAAGAAAAGTGTCTCTAAGATACTTGTCTTATTTGCATTCATCTAAGTTTCTTTGCAAGTAACACAAACTCCCAGTTGCTATTTCCTAGTATTATCAGTCTTCAAAAATTGTTTTGGTGTTTATTTTTACTTGTCTGTGCCTATGAGTTTTCGAGGCATTCTACTCTCAGATGCGCAGAATATCAAATACCCTATTTAATGATTAATCTTAATTATCTTCATGTGGCTAATGTTTTCATTTAGTCAGGGGTCTCATCACCAGTCACAAATACAAATAGCCACATGAAATTCTAATTTTGTGTCCCCTTGAAAGGTAGTGAATCTCTGTTTCACTTCCAGCCTAACTGACCCCCCTGTTTCCACCCTCATTTTACAATCTGCTCTGACCCAACACAGGAGTCAGAGTGATCCTGTTACAGTATAAATCTGATAATGTCACTCTACTCATAACTGACACTCTCCCCAGATAAAGGCCCATCTGGCCCCCCAACCCTCACCTGCACATTTTGTTACCTCTCTAACCTTGTCTCCTACTGTCCTGCTACCTATTCTCTGCTCCTGCCGCACTAGCCTCCTCAGAGTTCCTCAGACATGCAATGTAAGTTCTCTTCCTGAAGTCTTTGCGCTTGCTTTCCCTCTGCTTGGCATGCTCTTCCTCCCACACCTACATGGCTCACTCCTTCATGTCCTTCAAGTCTCTCCTCAAATGTCACTTTCTCAATGAGGCTACCCTGATTACCCTACTTAAAATTACAACTACTCTTCTCAGTACATGCTACTCTTTACCTAATTTTATTTTTCTCATGGCGTGCTAAAATTGTACTAGAATTATTTATTAATATTATTCTCCCGCGCTCCCCATACACACCCCTTTGCTTTGGATTTGAAAGGGACTGGGTAGAGAAGGAGGAGAGAAAACAAAGGAGTAGAAATACAGAATAAGATAGGCCTAGTGAAATAGGATATAGGGGCAGCCCGGGTGGCTCAGCGGTTTAGCGCCGCCTCAGCCCAGGGCCTGATCCTGGAGTCCCGGAATCAAGTCCCACATCGGGCTCCCTGCGTGGAGCCCGCTTCTCCCTCTGCCTGTGTCTCTGCCTCTCTTTCTGTGTGTCTCTCATGAATAAATAAACAAAATCTTAAAAAAAAAAAAGATTTAGAATAAGACACTTAACGCATTTGTTTATTGTTTAATCAGTGAGCATGAAGAGCATGCACCATCTCATTATGCTCTTTATCATCAAATATGTTCCTGTCTAACTTCCTATCTCCCATCATGAAAAAAAATGTAGCAGTGCTATTACTACTCACAATGCCATGGTTCTTTGTAACTTCTATTGAAACAATATAGTTCTTGCTTCTGCAGTATCCTAATGCTGTTAAAGTAATGTTAGTCATAACATTGCTCATTAAGTTCCACCTATCATGTTGCTCCAGAATACTGGCTTCCAGTGATTTTCTCAAAGAATGTGTTCTCTTGAGGATGTCCGCAAATGCAAATCTTACCCAAAGTATGCAGGAAAATAAGTGATCATTTGTTTTCTAGTCACACTAAACTTACTACATATCTTCCAACCATGTCTTTTCTTGATTTCTTTGAATCACAATCACTGCATTCCTAGAATGGGATCTCTTTCAGTGTCAGCAGCACCTTACCTTCCAGGTGGGTGGATCCAGTCCAGCAGTTGCATTTGCCTGTGAGGAATACTCTTGACTAGCCCGGGAGAGCACAAAGTCACCACGTGATCAGGGACCAGGGAAGGTAGCAATCTGAAGGGCCAGTTATAAACCTCAGAGGATGAGATGCACCACCCCCAGTGGGCTACCTAAATCAGAGGCTGGATTTTGGCTCAGTCATTACAAGTCTGTGTCCTTTGGCAGATTGTTTGACTTCTCTGTATCTCAATTGCTTCATCAGTAAAATGGGGGAACCTATTTTAGTGGGGCAAAATAGGCCTGGATTCCAGTTATGACCCATGGTTCACCAGTTACAATGTCAGTGAGAAAACATGTTGTCTGTTTAGAACTGTACACAAAATTGTTTCAACTTCTCTGTGTTATTTCATGCCATTTCAGCAAGTCATGTCCCAATATATGCTTCTGTTTAGCAATCTGTTGTAAAGTAAATGGGATACATTTTAAAGTATTTTAAAGTTTAAAGTAGCTGGCATATAGTAACACTACATACATATTGTTACTACCACTACTACGGCAGATGGGTGCAGATACAGGTCTAGGCCACTGGGAGGCAGCAGAGGAAGCAACACCTGAAATCCATTTCTGTCTAAGGTTCTGGTGTACCGAGATTAAAGAAGTTTAATTATACCTTGTGGTTAGTGCAGAAAAATAATTCATTTTAGGAATGATATAATTCACCTCTCTGGAAACACCATTCATTGCTCTTTGGTTCACTAGTCCCATTTATATACATGTGCTCCGTAGCTCAAGGAGCTCTTTGTATAGCCATATAGCTGAGGAAAACCTGTCGTTCAGTGACTAGGACTAAATTGTGGTAGATTTACTTAGAAGCTAACATTATATTGCTACACTTTATATTTTGAGGTAGCAAATAACTACCTAATCTTGCATTTGGAAGGCCTTTGGTTGACTGTGGTATTTCAAAGTTTTAAAGTTAATGTGATTTTCCTTTGTGCTAAAAAAAAATGCAAAAAGCACTTTGGAAATCCACATTGTTGTTTCTTATTACGATCCTGCATTTGTGTTTTTTAATGGAATTGGAGATTGAGAACAGAAGAAGGAGACAAAGAAGGTAAATATAAGTTTGATTCTGCAATTCAGCTTTGGAAAACAAAGAAAGCTGAGTTAAACACATCTAAACATTGAGATTATATTGTCTCCTAGAAAGGAGGCAGCTTAGATTGTGGTGAGGGGCTGGGGGAGCTGACAAAGTTGAAGTTAGGAAATGAGTAGGTCTGTGTGTATGCCAAGCCATAGCATTTGATGTAGTAGCCAAGATCATTTGGTAACAAAATATAAGGTAGTATTAGCATATAATTGATTTTAATTATATGTCTTTAAATTATATAAATCCATTAGGCATAAAGGGGAGGAAGTACAATATTACTAATGAAAAAGTTTTGTCTAACTGGCTGTAGAACAAAAGAATATTCTGAACAAACATATACACACAGATGGAAATATGATTTGTTTAATTGGAAATAGTGTACAATGAAATACTAGGGATGTGATCTACCTTTCAAATGTTCACATAGTTGCTATAAAGCTCTTTGAAGCCATGTAGAGAAACCAAAGAATACTTTAATCCTTTGCTAGAAAGCTGTGCGGAAGATTATGATTACGTGATTTAGAATATAAACTGTGTATGTCATACTCTGAAGGAGTTTGATGTAGAAAGGGCTTCCAGAATCTAGTAAAAAGAAAGTTTCCTGGTGTTAGTGTGTATAAGCAACGATTATCTTCTTTCTGGTGATGTAATGCTTTAACTTTATATACTCTTTGATGTTTCTATTAACTGAAAATCTTATTGGAGAGTATTTCCTGTGCTATAATCCCCAGAAACTAATAAAATAATTCTGAACATGGTATAAAGTTTTGATTAAACTATTCTGTCCCAATACAGAGGAGTTTCAAAAATTCCCAGATAGATAGAGTGATAAATTTTAGTGCTGGAGGAGACTGGAGAACAAAGTGGACATGACCTTCCGTATTTACACGGTTCATTTACATCAGAGCCAGATGAGGACCCTAATTAACTTCCACAACTTCTGTTTTCTTAAGGATCCCTCTTGTGGGGCACCTGGGTGGCTCAGTGGTTGAGTGTCTGGTTTTGGCCCAGGTCATGATCTCATGATCCTGAGGTCCTGGGATCCAGTTCTGCATCAAGCTTTCCGCAGGGAGCCTGCATCTCCCTCTGCCTATGTCTCTGCCTCTGCGTGTATTTGTCTTTCATGAATAAATAAATAAAATCTTAAAAAAAAAATGACGATCCCTCTTGTCATGTCAGTCATGTCAGTCCTTGGCTACTTGAAAAAGTTCAGTACATGAACGTTCTTTTGAAAGTGGAATGTCAGCAAATGTGTTTAGAAGAAGAATTGAACTCCGTGATAATTTCCTTCTAATGGAGACAACCTGGGCCTACTATTCCAGAAGATTGTATACATATGGACCTGTATACATTTAAACATGAACATAAATATCTTAATAGATTTAAAATGCACCTCAAGAATACATTTGCTTCAGTTCCTTGCCCTACAACAGGTAAGGTATCATTAACTATATTTTATAGATGAAGTGACTGAGTCCCAGATAGACTAGCTGACTTGTCCATTAAGTAATGGTGAAGGAGAGACGGATCTCCTGTCATCGCAAAGTACTACACTAGGCATCTCTTATAAATTTTTTTAAAAAATGGCCTTCAAATTCATTTTCTATTGGTTTCCATGAAGTTTGTGGAACCCATAATTTCACACAGAATAGACTCTTCCACAATTGTGTAAAAGTAGATTACTAAGTGATTATATTTCAGTTATTCAAGTTCTCTGGTCTCCTTGAAAGTGAATCTTGAACGTCAGCATGACAATTGATAGTTGGTCCATTACCCAGTAAGCAGCCATGGTTTTGGTTTTAAAAGACACACGAAAGCTCTCATTTTGCTTTAGCCAATGAACCAGTTGCTTAAGTGAATGTGACAAACATCAGGCACAAGACACTACATATATCAGAAATAATCAGGATAAATTAGAAACTTTCAGATATTAGAGGTGTAGCGTCACAGAGAAGAGTCAGGCAGGTCTCCCCTTTTGGAGTTTTAGATAATGGGTATATACAAATACAGATGGCAGTCTCATTTCCCCAAATGGATTTTGAGTGCAAGGGTGCAAATTGATAATGAAAAGGCATGGATAGTGTCTCTACAGTAGAGCATAGAAGGGAAAATTTCTAGAATAAACTTATGTTTTGGCTATAAAAATGTTCCTAGTGTGGACGTGCTACCAATAACATTTATGATACTAATGATGATAGAATAATGCATCATCTTACCCTGGTTATGGCAGAATTGACACAAGACCTTGCATGGGCTTCTACTGTACATGTTACCAGTTTAGAAAGGGCTTTTAGTATAGGTGCTGCCAAAGCGAGCACAGAAAGGGCTTTTCATCCTGTTGCCAAAAGGTCAGATATTTAAGATCAAAGGAAATTAGAGAGTAATGGAAAACGTGGAACACAGAAAGAGTAACGTGTGTTGGCACTTATTTTAGGAAAGGCACTGTGCTGAGCACTTAGCTTATATTAACACCTTTAATCCTCACAACAGCTCTATGAGGTAGCCGTTATGTGCAGATAACAAGATGGTGCTCAAAAATACTATTTTTCACACAGCTAATTGAGTAACAACCGAGATTCCAACTCTGATAGGACTTCAAGATCCATATTGTTTTCATTAAGCCAATATTAAACCAGTATCATTGGCACAATGATCAGATAAACGGATTTTGGAAATAGCACCTTGAATGGACTCAGTCAAACAAATCTCAGGAGAGAAAAAGGTGAAGAGATTACTTTGAAACTCCATCATCACAAAAATAAACCATCTGTTAAGCAACCTGAATTGTGAGAGGTGCCATAATCAAGGTTTTAATTCAATACCTTCGGGTTTGCTTTCCTCATTATCCTCATCCACCCTGTCTCCAAGGAAGCTATAGCGACCTTGCAAGTCCTCACCCATGCAGAAAAGACTGGGTGCTGAAATATCTCTCCAGTCCTGACATGAAGGAATACGGATGTGTTTGACATCTTCCTTTCCAGGAATAAAGCCAAAGAGTTTCTTTATGCGCTGCATGATGATGAGCCGTGAATGCTGCTCTGCAGCTTGTTCAAAGAGCTCCCTCTCGTTGTGCAGGTGGTTGGTCCAGTAGCAGTGCTGCAGAGAGGTGAGGGGGGAGCAGCACCTCGCCAAGCAGCAGGACACGAGGATAGCGATGGTTGCCAAGGTGATCAAAATCCAGCCCAGCATCTTGATATAGTTATTTAAATAAAAATCAGAAAACATCAATATAGCAATTATCAAAGGAACAGGCACAGTAAGAGGGATTCTTACATAACTAAGAAGTGGGTAAGAAATTTGTTTTTCTAGTCTTTAAAATACTAACAAGGTGCTGATCGCTTGATATGGATATAGGCATGATGGAGAGACTAAACCCAACCATTTTAATTTGGTTTGGGGCCTATTAAGGATATTGACCAGTTAACTTAGAGTGGATTAGAAGTCCTGTCCTTGAAGTGGCAGATGCTATAACCCACCAATTACTCTTATGTAAGGTACAATAAACTATATTTAACTCCCCCTCTCTCCCAACCATTAGGTAGGTACAGGTCAAGCATCCTTTGGGTTCTTAACAACTATTTGGTAATGATTGTGATGAAGATGATACGATAGATAATAATGGTAGCTTCCTAAGTGCCTTCTTAATAATGTGCTAACAGGTGTTCATTAATATTTCTTCCTGAACTGCTCTTCCCTTTTATTTTTTTGTGACCAGAGATGACTTTTATGTCCCTAAATGGAAAGCACTTTATTATTTTCCTTTTCATTTCCCTCCTCCTTCAAATAGTTATTGGCTGACCAGTTTAATGATTCATTTTTGAAATATACTTAGAAGGGAAAATTAGCCATATTTTATTTGCAATTACTTAGTGTCCTCTTTGAAAGATTGATGTAAATGGCTGTTTTCGGGCAGCCCGGGTGGCTCAGCGGTTTAGCACCACCTTCGGTCCAGGGTCTGATCCTGGAGACCCGGGATTGAGTCCCACGTCGGGCTTCCTGCATAGAGCCTGCTTCTCCCTATGCCTGTGTCTGTGTCTGTGTTTCTCTGTATCTCTCATGGGTAAATAAATAAAATCTTTTAAAATAATAATAAAATAAATGGCTGTTTTCTAGTCTTGGAACTCTTTTTTTTTAATGATTTTTTAAAGATTTTATTTATTTATTTATGAGAGACACAGAAAGGCAGAGACATAGGCAGAGGGAGAAGCAGGCTCCCTAGGGATTAAGGATCCTAGGATCACTACAGGAGCCAGAGGCAGATGCTCAACCACTGAGCCACTCAGGCACCCTAATAATTCTTTTTTTCCCAATCGTTAACAATTATTATGTAAAGTGAGAGAGGCAAGTTCCACACCGATAAGGAAGCTAGCAGGAGGCAGCCACAGTCTGGGAGGTGAAGGTCTCTCCCACAGCTTGTGATTCTCCAGCAGACCTGGAATTACCAGGGTGAGCACAGCAGGGTAGCTGCACTCAATGGAGGCTAAAACCTACAAAGTGACACAGCAATTTAACTTGAGAGAGGCCAGCACGGTGGAGGAAAGGCCATCTGAGATGCCCATTAATTATCAGCCATCATTTATTGAGTACCTGGTTGACCTCTCACCATGTTCTATACATGGTGGTTGGTTATGGGGACTTAGATGTGAATACATTTAAGATACATTCAGCTTTCCACAGTCTTTCAACCAAAGGAGGAAGACAAAATAGCAAGCCAAGAAATATAGTTAAATATGATAGGTTTTTTTATACCAGTAAGCACAATGGGAAAGAAATGAACTCACTTAATGAAGAGGAGTATCAGGGAGTACTTCCCAGAGGAGATGATGTTCAGACTTAAATATTAAAGAGCAGTTCACCAGATGCAAGAAATTAAGAGTTCTGATTAAAAAAAAAAGCTGATAAGAAGAAAAATAAGAGCATGAAGAATTGGGAGAACCTCAAGAAGTTTGTGCTCACAGGTCATAGGAGTCCTGTGAAAAAGTCAGGAGCCAGCCACTGAAGGACTTTGTATGCCCTGACAAGAATTTGGGTTTGTGACTGGGCCAGTAGGAAATCATTCAGGAACTTCATATAGGGTCTGGGGACAGTGATCATAATTCGATTCACATTTAGAAAGATAATTTTGGCATGGCTGTAGAAAGTTGACTGAAATTGGATAAAACTATGCCAGGAAGCTATTTTAGAATGACGTATGGGCAGAGAAGGGGTTTGAACTTTATAGGACCTTGTGGTCATCTCAGAAAAATCAAACAGAAAAAACAGTGTATACTTCTCAAATGAGACTGAAGTTCAAGGTAGTCGTGAAATGTGGCTTGGTACAATGGAAACAGTATGACCTTTGAATATCTCTCTCAGCCCTTTATTAGCTCTGTGAGCTTATAAAAGTTACATAAACTCTTTAGTCTTTGCTTTCCTCATCTGTAAAATGGGATTGATTATAGCTCTCTCTTAAGATTCTGAAGGTTAGAATTAAAAATGAAGTATTTGTACAGTATATGATAAACATCTTACTAAATATTAGTTTTGTGGTCGCTGATCCAAAGAAGTCCACTGACTGATGGCACTCAGAACCATAAAACTGTCTTTTCCCGTAAGTCTGTGTAATATATTAAACAAGGTATTTTATTTTCACTTTAAGAAAATCTTACTAGTGTGTAATAGATCTTAGTTTTTCTTGAGCAAGAACATTTTTGCAAGTTAAAATGGTCCCATTAATTATTTGACGTTTCACCTATCCTCACATAGCTCCCTCCTCTATCTGAGCTCTAGGGCTAGTATAAAAGGTTGAGGCACAGCATACCTTAATGGGATTTCTAACTTTGCTTCAATCAGGCCATATGCAACACTTGAGTATTCTGTGTGTTGATAGTAATTTTTTTCAACAGAATAGCACTAGCACTTCTAAATTTTAATAGCTAAAAAAGTGATGGGTCAAAAATGTGTATGCCTTTGCAATAAATAGTTTAAAAATAGTGTATTTTTATTGTGCTGCAGTGGTTTGCCAATGTGTTTTTATCCCCAAATCCCTCACAGAGAGCGATGAATGCCAATGATTCTTTCTGTATTGACAAAATGCACTTTTACAGTTCTTTTTTTTTAAGATTTTATTTTTTATTTATTCATGAGAGACATAGATTGAGAGAGAGAGGCAGAGACACAGGCAGAGGGAGAAGCAGGCTCTATGCATGGAGCCTGAAGTGGGACTCGATTTTAGGTCCCCAGGATCAGGCCCTGGGTAGAAGGCGGCGCTAAACCACTGAGCCACCTGGGCTACCCTATAGTTCTTAAATTTAACCTGTAAGTGCAGTAGATACAGGCCTTTTCTCTGCCTCATCCCACCCCCTCATGTAAACTTGTCTAAGGACATTAAATTTAGAGCCATCGCTGGAATTTATTTTGATCATTATTAAGCTTCCTATAATTTTAGGTAAAATGTTAATACACAAGAAAGTATTTCAGAATATCCAAGATGGAATGAAATGATACACTGTATGGTAATAATAATTTTAATGACGATATCTAAGATGTATTGTTTTTTAACATGGATTGTAGACACGATGCTGAGCCTTTTAGATATATTAGCTCATTTATTACTCACTTCAACCTTATTTGGTAGGCCCTATTAATATCTCTATTTGCAAATTGAACACCAATAAAAAATAAATGTATATTAAAAAAATAGTGAAAGGGAATAAAGGAGAAAGGAGAAAAAAATGAGTGGGAAATATCAGAAAGGGAGACAGAACATGAAAGACTCCTAACTCTGGGAAACGAACTAGGGGTGGTGGAAGGGGAGGTGGGCGGGGGGTGCGGGTGACTGGGTGATGGGCACTGAGGTGGGCACTTGATGGGATGAGCACTGGGTGTTATTCTATATGTTGGCAAACTGAACATCAATAACAAATTTATTAAAAAAAGTAAAAAAATCTCTTTTATAGCAAAGAAAAGTAAAGCGTGGTTAAGTTATATAACTTGCTCAAGGTTTTGCAGGTTAATAAAAGGCAAAGCAAGATTCAAACACAGGTCTGCTGACTCCAAAGCCCAACATCCTAACCATATGTCTAGAGCCACTCAGTAGAAATCACTTTGATAAGTGGCATCAAGATTGTGTTGTATATTCGGATACTATGAGAAGTAGTAGGAATGTGAAATGTCTCCAATGGCTGCAGTTAAGATGGGATAGCATAGCAAGAAAAAAAAAATCAAGAACTTACTTGTGACTGGAATCTGTGCAGAAGAGCAACTTCATCTCTTGCCAGGATCATGTCAGATGGAGCTGATTTGGGACATGGAAACCCAGCTAGGATCTCTTTTCGTTTGCTCGCGCTGACATTGTCAAACACTGGGTAATGATCCACAGATGCGAATTCACTTGCTGCGCATTCATAGTAGGTGCCTGTCAGCAGGGTGACAGCCAGCCATGTTAATGGGGCAACAAGTGCCCTCCCAGTGATGCTGAAGAACCGAAGACAAGCCAGCTTGCGCTCCAGGGGGCTGATTCTCCGGTGTGAAGGGGCACAGCTGCAGCAGTATTCACTGGTCATTGTCCACATCTGGCTTCTCAGAGCATAGCCAGCAACCAGAAGGATCAAGGCTGGGATGACTAGAAACGCAGAACCATAGTAGAAATTTTTTCCAACCTGACAGGGACAACTGAATGTGAAAGAAGAGAAAAGCTGTTGCCCACCAATAGTCAAAGCAGCAATGAGAGAATTGATAAATGTCCCACTTCTCTGCAGGGAAGATACGATATTGTTGAGAGTTCGGCTCATCGTTGGGAAGCTCTGAAACAAATGGCCCTTTCTGATCATTAGACTCCACAGCTATAACCATTTTATGGGATCTTACTGGTTTAACTGGCTGTGTCAAGCGACTGAACATCCTTATATGTTTAAAGGATTCTAGCATCTTTCCTTGTGTACTTTGTGAATCCTGAACTAATAAATGCCCTTCGGATTACAGCTGGAAGAAACTAGAGAGATTAATCTGGTACGAGTGACAGGAAACACTTCTGCAGTATATCTTCCTGCTAAAAAAAGAATGACCTGCTTTGCAAAGCAAATTGCTGCCATCTTTCCATGTGCTGCTGTGTGACACAACATGCTCAGCACCAGCAAATAGAACATTGGGAGCAAAACAGAGAACATTCTTACCCTGTACTAGACCAGGATTTAGTTACCATCAAATTATGATATAAGAACACAGAAATTATCAAATAATAGAGCAATCCAAACATTAGGGCTGTCTGGAACATCCAAAACCTAAGAGTTCTGTCAGAAGGTCCCAAAAGCTTTCCCCAAAAGGACAAGAGTTGGGTACCCATAAATCCAAATCACAACAAAAACATTCCAACTTTGCATTAAAATGCATTTGTATTGATGGAATATAATATATTAAAGTGTGGCTTTATAAGTTAATTAGAAAATTTGGGTTTATATGGTATCTTTTTGTTACATGAAAATGTGATACCTAGGTATTAATAAAATTGTATATCTATAGAAAGAAGTAAAATGATCAGATATGTAAGGTGTTTTCTATATTTAATCAGAAAATATTTATTGTATAACTTCTATACAAAAGGCACTGGACTAGGCTTGGTTGGGCTAATAAAAAGTGAATAAGATACAAATTTCTCAAACTGTCAACTGGCTGTTGTTAAATATGTAATTAGTGAATTGAAGCATAATGCTGAGGAATTCACCCAAAGTACAGTATAAAAAGATAAAGAAATAAAATACTATATTTTAAAAACCAATTCAATGAACTAGAAGAGACTAAGCAACTCTATAATAGGACTTCCAGAAGGAAGAAATGGGATAGGCAGAGAAACAATGTTTCAAGAGAAGTAACAGAGTTTTGCAGAATCAAAGAAAGTTCTCATATCAGAAGAGTGTTAGATGTTCTGAGCAGCTTAAATGAAGACAAATCTACATATAAAAACACCATAGTAAAACCGCAGAGTGTGAAAAATGAAGCGATATTATTAAAAGCTACCAGAAGGGGATGCCTGGGTTGCTCAGTGGTTGAGCTTCTGCCTTTGGCTCAGGGTGTGATCTCGGGTCCGGGGATTGAGTCCCACATCGGGTTCTTGCAGGGAGCCTGCTTCTCCCCCTGTCTATGTCTCTGCCTCTCTCTGTGTGTCTCTCATGAATAAATAAATAAAATCTTTAGGAAAAAAAAAAGCTACCAGAAAGAAGAGACACATAAACTACGAAAGAATGACTGAATCTCTCATTAGCAACACTGGAGACCAGAGGCAGTATCTTCAAAATGCTTAGTACCAGATACACTATCACTCAAGACAGAACAAAACAAAGATACATATGTTAATTTTAAAAAGAGATACATAAAGGCTAAGGGAATTTACCACTCACAGGAACTCATAAAGAGCATTATTAAAGGATATATTTCAACAAGGAGAAAAATTAACTCTAAGGAATGACACAGGACAAAAAATAATTATGAGTACAAATATGGCATTTTTAAGTTATTTTCTTTAATCATTAGCTGTGGAAAGAATTACTTTTTTAACAGGTGGAACTAAGGCAATACACGGTTATGATATGATATCAGTATGCAAACGGCTAAAATTAAGAAGACTGACCCTATCAAATGTTGCTAAGGTTTGCAGAATAACTGGAACTCTTTTTATTTATTTTTTTTAATGTTTATTTATTTTAGAGAGAGAAAGAGTGTGGCAGGGAGGGGCAGAGGGAGCAGGAGAGAGACACTCAAGCAGACTCCACACTGAGCATGGAGCCTGACTTGGGGCTTGATCTCATGACCTTGAGATCATGACCTGAGCCAAAAATCAAGAGTTGGATGCTTAACCAACTGAGCCAGTCAGGCACTCCCAGAGTAACTACAACACTTATACCCTGATAGCGGGAATGTAAAATGGAATATTTTTGGAAAATTGTCAGTTTCTTTAAAAGTTTACTATGTACCCACTATATATGGTACAGTCATTTGTCTCCTAGTTACTTGCTCAAGAGAAATGAAAGCATAAGTCTACACAAAAAATTGCACTTGAATGTCCACAGTAGCTTTATTTATAATAGCTACAAACCAGAAACAACACAAATGTCCATCAACAGGTGAGTAGATCAACAAACTGTTATATGTCCATATGATGAATACTCCTTGGTAAGATAAAATGAATAAACTATTGATTTATACAATAAGAAGAATGCATTGAAAATAATTTTCTGAATTAAAGAATTTAAGCAAAGAAGTACATAATGTATGACTCTATATAAAATTCTAAAAATGCAAATTCATCAATACAGACAGAGAATAGGCCAGTGCTTGCCTAGGGAATAGAGGAGGAGGAGTAAGAAGAGTGAGTACCAAAGGGCCTTAGAAAACTTTCAAAGGTCATATCAATTTGTACTGATAGGGTTTTAATTTATGGAGGTGATTGAGTGATGACATGGAGAAGCCAACGCCATTGATAGGAGATTTCTTATTTTCATTTACCAAGAGAAGAGGGCATTCCAGGCCGCAAGGGGAAGCATCAGGTTTGGTCAAGAGGCAGAAAGGAAGACAGAAGAGCCTCGGCTAGAGCTTTTATTGGGGTTTCCATAGTAAAGGCAAGGTAAGGCAGGGGAAACAGCCTAGGATTGGCTAGTTTAAATAATTCTGGTGGGCTTTGGGGCCTAAGGGCTGTCACAGCTTGTCTAGTACCTGGTCCTGGGTCGATCTAGAGCAGGGGAAATATTGACTTGGTGTATGAGAGGTAGATAAGAAGATGTTCCGGGTCTGATCACATGGGAGATATTAACCGCTTTGCCTGTTAGTGTGGCCCTGTAATTAATGGATCCCAAATAGACAAAGATTCTAAGATAACATAGCTGAAACAAGGGTAATGGAAATGTTAATTATGTTAATTAATTTGATGGCTTTGGGGTTTATATGTATGCCAAAACTCATCAAATTTTATTTTATTTATTTATTTTTAAAAGATTTTATTTATTCATGAGAGACACAGAGAGAGAGGCAGAGACACAGGCAGAGGGAGAAGCAGGCTCCATGCAGGGAGTCCAATGCAGGACTCGATCCGAGGACTCCAGGATCACTCCCTGGGCCAAAGGCAGATGCTTAACTGCTGAACCACCCAGGTGTTCCAAGACTCATCAAATTTTAAATCAATTCATCTCATTAAAGCAGCAAAATTGTAAGCATAATTATTAAATACTTGAAATATAGTGTATAGATCATTCAAAAGCAGAAAATTAGAAGGGAATATTAACAGAAAAAGAGACTAAAGAAAGGGAAAATGATGGTAAAAAGAAAACACAAAATAATGGTAAAAATGAGACCAAACACATCAATAATCACATACAAAAAAAATTTAAATACCTAATAATTACTGTGGGCTTAGGGACATGTCAGGCACAATTATAAGAACTATGATGAGATACTAATATCATCCTCAACTGGTTTACAGATGAGAATGTTATCCTCAACTTGCTTACAGGTAAGAACTTATTTTCATGAAAAGATTCAGGAAATTGCACAGGGCCATACAGAGATGGGTAAACTTAGCTCCAGAGTTGTTAAAAAAAATAGAGTCATACTGCTTACAAGGGACACACCAAAAACTAGACCACACACAAAGCTTGAGAAATAAAGGCACTGAAATCTATATAACTGGGAATAATGATATTAAAAGAAGGCAGAACCGAACCAAAGGCAACAAGTGTCAAAAGGGCTAATTTGGGACACTCCATCATAATAAAAGGAACAATCCATTATGAAGATAGAGCAATTGTCAACTTGTATGTCTGTGTATGTAGTATCCCATCACAGTATTTCCATCCCATTTCATTAGTAATGTCCAATAATGAAGAAACAGATGAATCAACTGCAGAAACAGAATGCTGTAGACGAGGGGTTGACCATCTAAGGCTCATAGACAAAACTGGCCCACTGCCTGTATTCTTCGACTTGAGTTAAGAATGGTTTCTACACCTTAACACAGTTGGATGTAACAAAAAATTGTTTAGTATTTTATAACATGTGAAACTGCATGAGATTCAAATCTCCATGTTTACAAATAAAGTTTTATTGGCACACAGGCACACCTGTTCCTGCTTTCCCATCACAATAGCAGAGTTGAGTGGTTGTGACAGAGTCCATATGTTTGTAGAACTTAAAACACCTACGCTCTGGGCCTTCTCAGAAGAAGTTTGCTAATCTCATCTAGAAAGGCTGTGAAAATAAATGAGCTAGAGTGACAGCCATGGATATGGATAAACCTTAACAAATAACTGGGAAGAAAAAATGCAAGCTGTAGGATATGTACAGTATGATAAATTATGTCATTTTAAAACAAACTGATGGGGCATCTGGGTGGCTCAGCAGTTGGGCATCTGCCTTCAGCTCAGGTTGTGATCCTGGGGTCCTGGGATCGAGTACTGCATTGGGCTCCCCACAGGGAGCCTGTTTCTCCGTCTGCCTATGTCTCTGCCTCTCTCTGTGTGTCTCTCATGAATAAATACATAAAATATTTTAAAAATAAAATGAAATGATACTACATATTCTTTGCACTTACTAACATATAGAGAATTTTAAAACATATATAGAAATAATAAATATCAAGTTCTATGTAGTGGTGACCACTGAGGAGGACAGAATAGAATTAAAGAGGGTGCTGGCTATTTCAACTGGATCAGCATTGCTTTATTGCTTACAACAAGGCCTCAAGTATATCTAGCAACTTGTTCCATGGAACGTGGTAGTAAAAACCGCATTTTCCTTGTGTTTATAGTTTCATATTTTAAAAGTCCATGTAATGGAACATATGGGAAGTGAGGAAGAGAGAAGGAAATTGTAGACCAGTGTTTCAGGGAACAACGCAAGAAAGGATGGAGCACTGATTAATGAGAAGTCACTATTGGAGTATCAAAGTCTTGCCGTAAAGGAGTTTCTTGATGACAAATTCTTAATTTTTTATCGTTGTTTACAGTCAAAAGAACTAATGACTTCCTCAGGGGTCCTGTGTGTAACTCGTCAGTGATTGTGAATGATTACATCTATGATGGATCAATTTTCTTTGGGGTGTTATAACCAAATGGTCTTTTTGTTAAAGATAGCTTGCTGTCACCTGTCTATCCAACATATTAAATGTCTACTTGTCAGCGGAGACCCAGAGGCTCCCTGGCTGAGGACGTGCTGGCACACGGATAGGAAAATCAGATCTGACAGCTAGAGCAGTCCTCAGAGGGCTGGGGTGCTGAGCATATTATCACTCATTTTATGTAAAGAAGTTTGGTTAAAATAAATGCAAAAGGCAGCTTTAAACAGAAAAAGAAATTGCAAAAAGATAAGACATTCCTGAAGCAGATGTGATGGCTGTGTCTGATAGTTTGTGGGCAGTCTCAGAGATGACACAGCTGATGATAGATCAGTAGGGGTTCCCCTCTGTCAGCACCTCCCCAGTCTACTCAGCTGCCCAGGTACCTCCCAAGGGACCACTCTCGGGGACTGGCTCAGTTCATCACTTCCTTGCGCTGGTCGGTTTGCAGTGCCCTATGATGCCATCGACCATTGCATCATTCTCCCAACCCTGGCTCCAAGTTTGTCCTAGGCTACCAAAAGAACTCTTAATAAAAGAGGAAAAGCTCCTCCTCTGCATTATTTTGAAATGATTCTTCTTCCCAGTTCACTGCCAAGACAGAAATTATCTACCAGCTACCTGTTTGAAACATACCCTTTGTACTTTCTTCTATTTAAGGGAAGAAAGTGAAGAAAAGAAAGAGCCTGGGGCACACCAGCCTGCCTTAGATCATAAAGGCCACTGAAGGTTGGTGGGTTTCAGATTCTGGGACACAATCCAGTGTCCCAGCACCACCGGCTGCAGCTGTGTTCGTGCAGGCTGTGCCTCTCCTGCAGGAACGCCAGGCAGGGACTCCTTCCTCAAGCCTCATGGTCCTGGGTGAAAGGGCAGGAGAGAGGGGGAGGCCTGGCAGTCCAGAGGAAGAGCTGGCTTGTCCCAATGTGCCCACGATGTCCTGAATCCTCAAGGTGGCCGTGATGTTTCCACACCACAGTCATTAGAGTTCAGTGAAATGGATTCCTGGACCACCACTCTCCACACACCAAGCACACAGGCCTGTGCTGTTTTTCTCAGGACTCAGCACTGCCCCCCCACTAGGCTCAGCAGCGTGCTCTCACCATGCCTTCGTAGCCATTGTGAGTCCACCTCTAAACTATTTTGCTCTAACATAGAGCGTGTACAGTAGAAAAAAATGTTTGATTTGGAGTCAGCAACTTGAGCCTAAATCCTTCCTTGTTGCCAACTCTCCAGCGGCTTTGAACAAATTTCTTAACATGACTTATAGATTCTTATCCTAGGACATGGCAATCAATTACAGATGGTAATTGAATTAGAGGGAGAGAAAGTGAAAACCATGTTTTAAATTGTAAGCTTTACATAAATATAAGGTGGTGTTAATCCGCCACCAAAAAGCACCCTTCGCCCCCCTACACCACCACCTAGCAAAACTGACTTTTCCTGGGAATAGTCATGGAATACAGGCATTAATAGGAATACCCTAAATATTGTGGAACCCCATTCAATATACTCACGAGAAAAAACTACAGTAATTAGTGTTTCTATGGTGCATTATAATGTGTTTTATAGCGCACATTATCTCTTTGATACTCACAATTATTCTGTGAGGTGGGTATTATTATTGCCTTTTTGCAAATGTGGAAACTGAGCCATAGAGCAATAAAATAGCTTGTCCAAAGTCACTCAGCCAGTAAATGGTAGAACTGCAGCTCAGCCTGAGACTTCCAAATTCTCCTAGGCTCTTTCAACTCCACCACACTCTTTCAAAGTAGTGAGTAGTCTGTCTTTATACTATGTACTTTATACTTGCTATACTTTATAGCAAGCATTTTCGAGAACATACAGGGCTCATTGACTCAGATGGTAAGAAGTAGGAAACTACTTTCTTTAAATTGAGTTTTAGGCTTCTGTTTCTGGAACAGTTTTGATCCTCCACACCCTGCAGCTGTCAAGATGAGGGAGTTTCTCGTTTTAGCTTTAAATATGTATACTCCTACTTAAATAAAGAGAGGCTTCAGTAGCTAATATCTCAGGGACTACAAAAGAAAGCTGAGGGCTTGCTTTCTCTGCCAAAATCATTATACATTATTCAACTGTAGAACACTCATTTAGAGCAACAGTTTCACAACAAAAAATACTAATACCCCCAAATCCATCATTCCTTAAAACTGCTGCTTATGAAAACAAAAGTACCAAATATATTTGAATTTTGTGTTTTTTTGTTTTTTTATTTTTATATTTGAATTTTGTAATCATGAAAGATGGGGGTGTGCGATACCTATTAGAGTTGTTGATTAGGTTTGAACCCAAAGGGTAGTACCTACAGATTGCTGATCCTGTCTCGAATTCACACAACAATCAATACAAAGACTGAATAATGCTAACATTGAGATCTGTCTTGGATTGTGAAGGTTTCTGTTTGTGATTTTAGAACAATGCCTTGGCATGAGAGCAAAACACCACTCTTATATCCCTTGGGCTAAAGAATTTTCAGTAGCTGGTGCTTCTGATCTGACTTCCCACTATCAGCTTTTATGCCTCTAGATTACAACTTGTTCTCACCAGTGAAGCAATATTTGATCGGTGGCAAGGAACGTGCCTATAAGACAGTCCTGCTCATGATTGTTTTCCTCTACAGCCCAGCCAGGAGCAACAGCAGCAGGGTGCAGAAGTAGCACTTGTCTCAAAGCAAGAAGGAACTTGCAAAAAACGGAAGGACAGAGATTGATATGCCTCTAAGGTAAAAGCCAGTGAAAAGAAATCGAAGATCACATTCTCCATCTATCAAGCACTATGTCTCGCCCTGCACACAGAAGACCAGAATACCATAAAATCGTAAGGCCTTTTTATAAATATATTCTCAAAGAAGGTTTTCTTCTACTTCAAGGGAAATGTTTTCTTGAATGATTTCTGATTTATTTTAAATGGTGACACTTATACACAGACTTTTTTTCCAGTGGAGCAAAGGAGTGTTTAGTAGATGGATCATAAAAGACACCTCTGGGAACAGTACAATGATCTCTAACACAGTGTAACAAAATAATTGATCCTTTATACATATTTTAGGGTTTTCTTTTGTGACTAATTAGCTCTATAAAGGAACAAATTTATCTTTTGTATCTGATAGAAAATATAAAAAGATGAAGCAATTCTTTGTATTTCTTACTTCAGAACTAGGAAATGAAATGTATGTGAAATATATATAAAGATAGTGATTATGTATTAAATTAAGGGGAATAAATCAGCAAAAAAACCTCAGCATTAAAAGTTTGCCTTTAGAAATATATTTCCTTGTCTCAAATGTAAGTATCTATTACTATAATTTGATATGTGCTATTAACCTTTCTGTATATTCCAAGCTCAGAGTTATTTTCAAAACTTAATTGTTTGCAGATTAGCTTTGGATAAATATTCTTTTATAATCCTCTCATTAGAAATTGCAGATGTGAAAATGTATCATTAAATTAAAGCTCTTTTAATTATTTCAGGAAACTGACGAGCATTGAATAAAATAATTTCAGTTATGGGTACTTAGAATTGTATGATTAACTGGCACACCCCAATTGGGAATGCTTGTAGATACCCCCTCTGGCATTCTGGGATCTTGACTTATTTTTATGTGGGGCTCTGAAATACTAAAAGATTTTGTAGAGTTGAGATATTGTACCTAAATCACTTCATTTATGTGTCAGTTAAAACACACTTTTATCCTAATATATCCAAAACCTCAAATAATTAATGGTGTTCTGTTTTTTATATGTGAAAATGACTTTTTATTGTTTTATGAACTATGTCAAATTTTATGTTGACATTTTCTGTGACCAGTAGTATGGATTTGAGACCTACTGGACATGTAGTTTAAGGAATCGCCTTTTACTAGGATGCAGAATGGAAAATGGGCCTCATGGGTGTTGAACTTAAAATTCAGCTATGAGTCAACTATAGTGACTACTCACCCATCAGAATAAGAGAGAAAGAGGAAGAAGAAAATGCCATGATTCAGTTTGGTTATATTATAAATGGGCACAATGTTGAGGCTCTGGCATATGAGTAGGGTGTAATTTCATTTCCTGTTACCTCTTGGTCAAATTCTTCTATTTTTCTTGCTAGTGGCAACAACCACATTATTCTCTCTGTCTCTCCTTCACCTTTGCTTATTTTTATGCTGTGCTCTTAACCACATAGCATAATTTATCTTCTGTGGTGGCTCCTTATTTGTTGAGAAGATATTTCATGTATAATTTACAGACATTTCTTATAGTGTATGACCAAGTTTTTCAAGTTAAATAAGAACAGAATTAAAATTGAATACATTGTGACTCTTTAGTGATTTAATAATATTTATGTTAAAATCACTAGCTTTACATTTCTTCTTTTCTAGTAGAAATATTAATGTACTTATTATTTTCCTATACCTGACTCATATAGATTAGTCCTTGATGTAATGTCAATTAGTGTATATAATGTACATTCTACACACACTTATGACATTTTGATTTATATTTTCAGTGTAAATTATATCCACATATGGACTTAATTTTTATAATTATTTAGATTCTATCCATTTAAAACTTATTTAGTTATTACAAACATTCTATCTGATTAAAGAAACATATTTGTTATGACATAAACCCACGTATATGGAAGTGGACTCTGGTGGTATTGGACAAATTTTGGAAGTATTTGGATCAAAATTATATAACATTTTATAGACGTTACTTTGTTGAAAAAACAATTTTATTGGCTTGGTTAGCCATTTCTGAAGCTGGTGCCTTAAAAAAAAAATCTTATCAGGTCTTATCTTACCCTCCATGTTAGGCTACCCAAGACACCTGAGTCTAGAGGTATAGACACCTCTTCTAACTGGAATCCAGATTTACCTTTTCATGTAAACACAAGATTATGCTATGCACAGAATAAGATTATTTTAAACAGTGGATCCCTTCCGTCCCTCCCTCTCCCACCCACCTCTATTTCAAATAGGCCTTCTTTTGTGCATCTCAGAGATAATTGCTATGTCAGAGTGAAGCCTGCAGTCTCAGGTTCCACCCTGGCTCTGCCAGTTGATGGCTAGTTGGACAAGTCACTCATTCCTCCTGAGGCCTCATTCCCTCTTCTGTGGGACTGAGAGCATTGGAATAAATTATCCCTAATATCTCCGGCCCTTACTTAGATAGTATTCAATAGCAGAAGCAAAATAGAGAGACTTTGTCAAATGGATTGGTCAAGCTTTGTGTGTTCTGTTTCCCATTATTTTCAACCTCTCAATGCTAAACCAAACATAAATTATTCTTAGTCGTAGTTTTCATATTTAGTTCACTCTGAAAATAGGCCATATTTTGGAGATCTATAAGGAAAGTACAAATTCTCCTTTTTTCACTAAGTATAAAGAAAACAACACCTCACAAATTTGCTGCTACAGCTGGGTTTTCATCCTGCTGGCCTCCTTGGCAGATGTGGAACCCATTAGGGATTGTGCAGACTCATGAGGAGTCTCAACCAATTATTTCTTCCAACTGAAAACATGGTCAGCCAATACCAAAGGCCATTCTAGAACAACAGAAATTTATATTAGCAATTATTCCTTTTTTAAAAACTTGCTCTGTGAAAATACCTTGCAAGCTATATAATATAGCAAATGCATACAAAGATTTCTCCTATTAAGAAATTTATTTCATTTCACAGTGTTTTTTCTCATCAGCAATGGATCCAAATATGGGTACAACTTGTTCTCAAAAGTCAAAATTATTGCAATAATTAGGAGGGTGGAAAAAAATGTGCAGATGATCTCCAAAGCTTCTTCTAATTGGAAAATTTGTTTAAAAAAAATAGAGTAGCATATTGTCCATAGCTTTACCTGTAAAGTAAAACCAACCCTTTTTTCTCTAGAACAAAGATCTCTTTGTCCTCACCTATGGAGCACTGGTTGCCCAACTGTGCAAAGATTATGAAAAAGACGAAGATGTGAATAAATATCTAGATAAAATGTAAGTAGAAGTCTTTTATTCTCATGGAATGTATATTGTTTCTTCACATCCTCTGAATTTTGTCTACTTCTAATGACTTTGCTTGCTCCACTTCATGAGCTCTTCTATTATTTCAATGAACCACATTTTAAAGCTGAACATAATTTCTGACAAATGCCATTTGGGTTGTCATAAAGTATAAAGTAAGAGAAAGGAAACTTTTTTTTTCTATGAAAACCAAGCATGGAATATATTCTTTTGAGGGAGAAATCGTTTCTTTGCTAGTCAATTATAAACAAAAGTATGGTAAAACAGACTGTTCTTTCAACAATGTGATGGATCATCAAACTGATTCTTTTCAGAAGTCTTTTGTTCTAATATAACCCCTTCTAATACAAATATGTGCTTATATAAGTACAGATTATCTGTGGAAGGATATGCAAAAAGAATGCTAATGGCAGTTGCCTGAGAGAACTTGGAGACAGGATTATACATAGAAGAGAGATTCACTTTTTCCTATGTAGTGTTTTTATTGTTTGAACACTTTTACCATTGCTATGCTTTACTTAAAAATATATTAAAGGGAGAAATGCACTCCTTCCTTTTAAAGTCCATTCTCCTTGTATCCTTCTGCATAAATTCAGCCTTTAATTTTCTTAGAATAATTATATGATCATCAGATTATTGCTCAATAATAAAATATCTGTCAACATTTTTTAAACCTCTTAATTATGGATCCTGAAAAGGACTCTAACAGGGCAATGACTAGAGGGCCTGTATTAATAGAAGATTTAGTTAGAAAGGTTGAAGGTGAGATTTAGCCTAGTTGAGGCTCTACCCTATGGAACATTCCCTTTACACACTGTGGTGACTTTATCTTGGTGGGCCTTCTATTGCTCCGTTCAAATCATTTCACTTGTCTATGTACATGTGGTTGTGAAGTTAAAAGACAAATTTTGTGCCAGTTGTTTAGCAAAGGCAGTCTTATTCCTTTTTATTTCCAACATTAAGGTCATATTTGCTCAACTAGATTGAAAGTTCTTAGGTCTGTCTTGCCACAAGTGTCTGCTCAGCCATCTCAGCAACATTATGACATCTCTTTTTTTTAAATTTTTATTTATTTATGATAGTCACAGAGAGAGAGAGAGAGAGGGGCAGAGACATAGGCAGAGGGAGAAACAGGCTCCATGCACCGGGAGCCCGATGTGGGATTCGATCCCGGGTCTCCAGGATCGCACCCTGGGCCAAAGGCAGGCACCAAACCACTGCGCCACCCAGGGATCCCACATTATGACATCTCAATAAGATGTTCTCAACATTGTGCTTCAGGTACTACTGAATCCATTTGTGGTAGGGTGGAGCTAGCAGGTCATACAAATACTTTCCCCCAAGTCCCATAGATTCAGTTTCCCTAGAATGAAAAATGAATTTTTTGAATGTTGCTTTTTTTTTCTTTTCATTAAACTTCAAAGTTCTAACTGCAGAAAACTACACAGGCAATAAAAATAGATTTTTCTTTTCCCTTCTTCCTCTCCTTCTGGAGCTCATCCTGGACATGACTGTCTTCTTACCATGATAACTATGCTAAGAGAAGAATGAGCAGCCATGTACCACATCTATAGCAGACAAGTTAGCTAGATGCTCATTCTGTTTTCATCAACAGCCACTGATGAGAAAGTTCTTTGCCAGTAAGAGATATTAGGCTACAAACACCAACCTCCTTTAACTTTACATTGTCAAATTTGGGCCAACCTTTCCTTTTCAGGCTTCTCTGCTCATAGGAAACTAGTTAATATTTCCCGGATAATTGCTCTCTGCCAATAGCCATTGGACTTGTCAAATTTGCTTTAATTTGTTACCCATGCAAATGCTAAACAGAGGACTCCATCCCTAAACATTGATTGAGTTTATTATTCAAATATTATTTACAGACCACACACTTTCCTTCATCACAGGGGATATGGCATTGGAACACGGCTGGTGGAAGACTTTTTGGCTCGATCTTGTGTAAGAAGATGCCATAGTTATTCAGAAATTATAGACATAATTGCCCAGGTAAATGCATTTTTAGCTCTTTCAATATGTTTTGAAAATCTTTGACTTTCCTCAGTCCTGTGGTTTTCTGCTCTGATTGGATAGGCTCTATCTGTATTCACTATTAGGTGCTAAGAGATTCTGATTGAAACCATTTTATTTCAGCCCAGGAATAAAGCTATTGTGAACAGAGGAAAATGCTTTTAGGTATTTAAACATCTATAGATTTTTCTGGCCACACTGGGAAAAATATTTTGAGAAGTAAATAGAAAAGGAGTGTAATAGGGCAACCTGGTAACATGCACACCCCAAACTGATTTCTTTGTAATCACTTTAGCACACAGAGGAGGTGGTCTTTGGCTGCCTCAGAGAATACAGTTGTAGCCATTTTATTCCCAGAGCAATATTTTCCCCATTGAAAAATAAAGCTTCCTGTAAAAGTATGTGCTCTAAGAACTTTCACAGCCCTGTTACACGAGAGACAACTTGGAATCACCTGAGAGTAGCTCAAATATCTTAGATAGAAGATGAAATCAGGAAATGCATCATTAGCCAAAATCCCTTTAATCTGCCAGCCTACAATTATTAACCTAGTGTTGTTCGTTTGTGGGAGACCTGGACCGTGTATCTGGGTATCGGATACTTTAAGGTTCAGGTATACTGCCTCCAGGTTCCCACAACAGACCTATTAAGTTGGTCTCATTCTTCTCTTCTCTCCGGATCCTTAATATCATGATACATTGCCATCCTGACTTTTCACGTGAGTGAAAATAATAGTTCTACATGGTGCAATAATAGTTCTACATGGTGCTTTGTGACTCCAAATGCAGTTTTACTTTTTTTTTTGTCTTTTACCCTTACAGTATCCTTATGAAGTAAGCAGAGTAGGAGTTGTTCCCATTTTCCAGACAAGAAAACTGAGTCCCAGAAAGAATATGATAAAAATAGAATACTAGTATATACAAAAAATTATGCATTCAAAAACACAGTCCAAATGAAAGATTTTCCCCATTCTTGTAATGATTACTTTCATTATTTCATTTCATTTCTCATTATTTCATTATTTCATGAATAATGTGGATAAAATTGAAATCCAAGTTTTCCATTCTCTACACACACACAACAAATTTTGGTGAAGATGTGGAGAGATTGGAACCCTTGCACACTGTTGGTAGGAATTCAAAATGGTACAGCTACTATGGGAAACAGTTTGAAAGTTTATCAAAAAAATTAAAAATAGAATTACCATAAGACGTACCAATCCCACTTCTGGGTATTTATCAAAAAAAAAATTGAAATCAGGATCTTGAAGTGATATTAGCACCTTATATTCATCACAGCACTATTCACAATAGCCAAGATGTGGAAACAACCTAAAACACAATTGACAGATGAATAAAGAAAATGTAGTATATACATATAAATGTGGTATATACATATAATGGCATACTATTCAGTCTTTAAAAAAAAGAAAGAAACATTCTGCAATGTGAGACAACATGGTTGAACCCAGACACAGAAAGACAAATACTGCATGATTTCACCTAGGTGAGAAATCTAAATCTAAATCTAAAATATTCAAATTCATAGACTCAAAGAGGGTTTCCAGGGGCTGTGAGGAAGAGGAAATAGGAAGTTATCAGCCAGTGGGCATAAAGCTTCAGTCAAGCTTTAGGGGCTGTGGTACAACATTGTATCGGTCGTCAACAATAATGTATTGTACACTTACAATTATGTTACAAGGGTAGATCTCATGTTAAGGTTCTGATCCCATTTTTAAAAAATCTTAAAAGAAAGAGATCTGTTTGATATAAAACTAAGAACATGTAGAACATCACTTTCCAAATATCTCTCCTCTAAACCTTTTATGTCTTCTTGATTTTTCTGATGTCACGGAAATTCTTGTCTGCTCCTCCTGTCTTCAAAACACTGGGAACAAATCCACTTCCACTCCTTTGCAAGATTCCTTCTTGCAATGAAGAGAATATTTCATCACCCTTACCCTTCTCTTGTGCATTGGGTTGTCTCCTGGCCTTTGCACTTTCCTTCAAAGGTCCAGTTCCCTCCCTCTTAATCATTTTCACTCCTCCAGCAAATGTTCTTTTACAAAATGTTACCCAATCCAGAAGCATTTTAACACAGAGGAAGGGCGGACCTTAGTTACATACTCACCCAGTAATGTTTTGCTTGTGTGTGACAGCTTTCATTAAAACTCCGGCCTTCAGCAGCATTATTTCATTGATCCTTGTAAACGCTCCTGAGAGGAGGCAGGTGTCAAGTGTTAGGATCAGTTTTAGAGAGGAGGGGGGAGCAGAGGAAATTCACCAGAGTCACATGCTGCCCATGGAGCATAGCAGGGTCAGGAATAAAACCTAAACCTTGTAACTTTGTCTGGCTGCCCCCTCAGACTTTGCCCTTATACAGAACACCATCGTGGTTCCTTGCCTCCTCACCGTTTTTTGTTTTTGTTTTTGTTTTTGTTTTTGTTTTTTTTGACAAAGCTTTAGACCTCAGGTTGCGCCATCTAGTGGTCTGAAGAGGTCAGACCATGACAGAGGTCAAATCACAAAAAAGTCTGTAATCAGGCCTTATATTTCTTTTTTTTTAAATTTTTATTTATTTATGATAGTCACAGAGAGAGAGAGAGAGGGGCAGAGACACAGGCAGAGGGAGAAACAGGCTCCATGCACCGGGAGCCCGACGTGGGATTCGATCCCGGGTCTCCAGGATCGCGCCCTGGGCCAAAGGCAAGCGCCAAACCGCTGCGCCACCCAGGGATCCCAGGCCTTATATTTCATATAAAAAAGAGATGACAGGCTAATTCTAAAGTCATATCCCTGCAACATTAAAATGTATCCATTTTTAAAGTGTGATTTAATCACAAGTCTACTTTTTGTGGTGATTGCCTTAAAGTACTTTAAATTCTAAATGTAAAATTAAATACAAAGATTGTCAGTAGCATTATAACGTGATGTTGAAAAACTATTAGTAATGCAGCGCCTTTCTTAAGAAAAGCTCAAAGTAATTACCACCTATTATTTTTTTTCCCTTCCAAGAGTCTTGTGAAGTAAAAGCGATAGCCACCGTTAGCCTCATTCTACTGATGATGTGATTGGGACTTGGGATGATGTCATCACAGTTACATAGTCAGAAAACCCAGCTGAAAATTTAATTTTTCTGGTCTTATTCCAGTGCATTTCCCCAAAATTAATTGTTTCTTTTAAACGTACATTTGAAGATTTTCTCCTGTTATGACCACTTTTCTGAGAAAATTGAAAATGTGGAATTCACAGTAGAGTCACTGTGGCTGCTTTTAGTTGTAGTACCGAAACACTGGAGCGTTCAAATGTAATTTAAGAGGCATAAATCTTTCAGTTTATTATAAAAGCATGAATAAATAAATAAAAGATGAGAGAGACAGAGACAGAGGGAGAGAGGCAGAGACACAAGCAGAGAGAGAAGCAGGCTCTATGCACAGGGCCCAATGTGGGATCCAATCCCAGGACTCCAGGATCATGCCCTGGGCCAAAGGCAGACACTCAACCACTGAGGCACCCAGGCATCCCAAATAAAATCTTAAAAAAAAAAAAAAAGAAAAGAACTGGTACCTCACTTTGGTCTAAGGTCTAAAACACACTTCCTTAGTTACATAAAACTATATTTCATTGTTTCCAAACACATCCACGACAAATGCTTTATTATTAAGATAAGCTAGAGATAACTTAATCTTTTGAAGTCAAAATGATTGTAAAGTTTAGACTTGATAAAAGATTATAACACTGTCTTTTATTTTATTTTATATTTATGATAGTCACAGAGAGAGAAAGAGAGAGAGGCAGAGACACAGGCAGAGGGAGAAGCAGGCTCCATGCACTGGGAGCCCGACATGGGATTTGATCCCGGGTCTCCAGGATCATGCCCTGGGCCAAAGGCAGGCGCCAAACCGCTGCGCCACCCAGGGATCCCATAACACTGTCTTTTAAAGTTAATTTAAACACAAGAATCTCTGACCCTCATCAGATGCAAAGTGATAATCTAACCAAATCTAATGTAGTCGAGATTAAGAGTCCACATCCTACTTAGCCACATTCCCAATGTGTGACCCCGAGCGCGTCATGCAGCCTGTCTGAACCTCAGCTTCCCAATCTGTAGGTAGGACCTGTAGTTTCAGCTGTAGTTTTTCCGATTTTCAGGCTTTGCTTTCCATAGGCAAAATCTGGACATGGAACTATAATCATAAAGAGCTGAGTGTGATGGGTGTAGTTCCTTAGGCCTCCCTTGGAGCATCCATAATGTCTCGTTACTGGTGGTGTTTACAACTGCTCGCCTTAGCACAAATTCTGCTCATCAAAGCTGGAAAGCTTTTCACTGTTGTTAGATCAATGTCATTATGATGTCATTATAAGGGATAGAAGGAATGTATAATTTTTCAGTATAAATATCACACCAGGAGTGTTGTTACAGAAATATTAAATTTGTAGAAAAAATATATGATATATAAAAAATATAAAAAGACTTATAAGACTTGAAATTCTGTTCTTTAGGTTAAAAAACTGCCCTTAATATATTATCCCTGGAAATTCTGAAAGCAAAAATGAGATCTTTTCCTTTTAATAGTATAAATTGAAATTTTACCTTAACTAAATAATAGGAGTAATGATTTTTTTTCTTTGGTGAGTGATGTAAAATCAATTAATAATTGAAAGGAAGTATTCATAGGGGGCAATATAAGTAAGGATGCCTAAAGCAGGGAGGAAACCTAATGGTGAATGTCAGAAGCATGAACTTGAGGGCAAAACATTTAGGAATATAATCCAGAGAGGAACTTGAATGGCAGAGGTTTTTTTTTTAACTGGATGATCATTTTTAATTCAATAAATTGGTCCATTTAAGATTAGAGTTGAGGCTACACGGAAAGATTCCAGTAAATCATACCGGTCTTATTTCTCTTATCTTGCTTCTGATATGAATACACAAAACTAACGTGGATGAACAGATACAAGTAATTCAAGTATTTTGAA